TGTGGACAAAACGGAGAATATATGGTACGGTTGGCCTGGGATGTTTTTTTTTTTTTTTTTTTTTAAGGGGGTCCGGGCCAAAGCCCGACTAATCCCTGGCAAATATGGAGGCTAAACATGGCCTCACTTAAATGTCGCCAACACTCCCCTCCTAGGGTTCGAACTCGGGTTCATGACTATGCCATGCCCAAGCCTTTACCACTAGGCTGGAAAATGAAGAATTTTTTTTCTCGATCGATATAACAAAGTTTCAAATTTCCTATTTTGTACGCATTTTGACCGGTAACCTGTTGATCATGTAACATTTGATGACGTGGATATGTCTTTACGATGAAGTGGACATGATAAACTTGACATCCACGTCATTGGATGTTACAAGATCATCACGTTTACAGATCAAAAAATGGGTAAATTAAAGGGAACTTTGTAACATCAAATAGAAAATTTCAGAACTTCGTTACGTTAAATAAATAAACAATTCTTTGTTACACTAAATAGGAAACAAGGCAAACTTCGTTGTCGTTTTCTTAATGCATTTTGCCCTTTTTCATATCAACTTATGAGGTCAAAATAAACTGATTTTTGAGTTTAAGAACCTCGGTACCTGGATATTTCACGAACAAAACTTCATAATCACCAAAAAGAGACGATTTGATCGGCACTTGTTTCAGCCATAATCTTTGAGCTGTTACTAATGCGGTATAGTTATCAAATTTTTCACCGAGGGGTACCAAGTTAACGATAACATTGGTTTTTTCGGGATTTTGGCTATCCTCATTTGCTCCCATGATTCGAACTTGACTCGATCTCATGAAGACCCCGGCAGCTATTTCAAAAGCCAGCTCCGATACCAAAGGAAAAAAGGTATATATTGAAACACCAAGGCCAAGCTCAAGTTGCATCGGCAAAACGCAATTACATGGTGTTCCGGGTGGGGTGTTGGTCAATGGCTCGACGCACGTTATCGACAAACAATCTACAAATTAAATGAAAGTCAAACATCCGGGATTTCTAAAAGTCAACCACCCATTATATGAACATGATGGAGTTGAAAAGAAAATGGATGACATGCTATAATAAGCACAAATCAAGAAATCTTGAACGATGAAACCAAACCAAACGAGCTTAGTATATCCCACCCGAAAGTGGGATCTAAGGGGTAAGATGTACGTAGACCTAACCTCTACCAGAAAGAGTAGAGCGTTAGTTTCCGTGAAGACCCGTGGCTAGTTAGAAGCGTACGAAAGGGGGAAATACAAATTTGCTAAATTTTGAAAATCTAGATATGAACAAACGATAGCAATACAAATAGAGAGAGAGAGAGACGTATGTTAAATTTTGAGAAACTAGATATGCACTTGTGCATAAAAGTAATTTGTCCAGTATGCACGTGTGCATAGAAACCCGGAAACATTTTTAATTATTTTCATGCATATTTCTCAGTTTTCTGTTTTTTTGTGGTTTTCCCCTAAACGTGAGTCTCTCTCTCTCTCTCTCTATATATATATATATATAAATATATCATCAAGTACAACAATATACAAAAATCTTGAATGATTCTTCATTGGAAAAATAGGTGAGTGCATATACCTTCATTGGGAGGCGGAGGTGGTAAAGCTTGAATTGGCTTCGGAATCCTTGGTGAAGCATGAGAAGGAGAAACTTTAGGCGAAAGAACCGGCACTTCCAAATATAAAGATGAGAATAATATAAGCTTCAACTAATAAATATAAATATAAAGAAAAGAAGCACTCGAGGAGAAGTTTCTTACTTATAGTTTGTACAGATGGAGAGATCGAAGGTGAAATTGAAAATGGTGGCGGAGGGGTATGGTGCCTTGGATTACTCTCTGGACCGGGTAGTGGCAGAGGGCTGTGGTGCCTTGGCTTACTCTTCGGACCTGGTGGAGGTGGAGGATACAATGGCGGCAAAGATGGCGGTGGATGAGATCTTGTAGGCGGAGGAGGATGGTTATAGAAGCTCGGAGCTTTGTGAAAGATCGGAGCTGCATGAAAGAAAGAACAATTTTTTAATTATACGTTGTACCCACATTAATTTTTCGGTTCTACTCCATAAATTCTTGAAAATAGAGGGAGTTCAAAGAAACCTTTCTTTGGAGAATTGTGAGTTGGAGCAATATTGGTTGTTCGATTTGGAGGTGAAGGATCAGGAAATCTATTTCCTCCCTTGTTCGTGCTTGGAATAGGCGCTGCAAATTTATGGATAAGAAATGTTGGAGTCATACATCGGCTAGACGTGGCCCATTTTGTCTCAATATCTGCTGGAACCTCTCTTCTTTCATGAGGGTTCTTTTGGAAAGTAATCTAGTGGGCTTCACATATTCTCACAAGGTATAAGAGCCAAGGTCTACCACCCTAGGGGCTCGAAATTGTGGGACAATTTGTGTCCGTCTAGCCTCCGTTGGAAGGGGTGTGTTGGAGTACTACATCGACTATTATCTCAATATATGTTAAAAGGCTCTTTTGGAGAGTAATCTAATGGGGTTATACATATTATCACAAAAACCAATATCATTAATATCATGCAACGCGTTACTAAAGGGAAAAGGAAGTAACATTAGAATGAAATTTGCCAAATAAATGTTATATATAGAGGGAGGTTCAGGGGGAAACCCCAAAAAGATTGAGGAACACCCTAGTAACCATTCATCTTTACTTGTATGCACATCTGCATACAAGTAATTGAAGTTGTTTATTGGTTTCTATGCACATGTGCATATCAGACAAATTACTTGCATGCACATGTGCATAACATAGAAATGAATGGTTATCACGGTGTTCCTCAGTCTTTCATTTTTTTGGGGGGTCTTCCCCAGAACCTCCCTATATATATATGGACAAACTACAAAACCGCACTTGTTGCATTTATTTTGGGACAAAGAGTAGCAAGTAAAAACCCACCTGGCATGTTTGGAGGAGGTGCAGATGAGTTTCGGTGGATCGGCTGCAAATCTTTTGGCGAGTTGCTTGGAGGCACCTCATAAGTAGACGGGGATTCTGCAAATACAGTGTGAGGGGCTGTAAATTCCTTTGGGATGCATATGGTGGTGAAACAACAGGCACTGGGATAGCAAATTTATAAGATATACAAATCATACTATTGTAGTCGGAATACAAAACCAAACAAACCCAATATATCCCTGTCGAATAAACAACATACTCATGAAATGCATAAATAAAAAAGAAAGAAATCCTAGTTCACCTGGCAAATTTGGAGGAGGTCTCGTGAACGGGGGACTTGGAGGTGATTTTCTTGGCAATGTGCTTGGTGGAGACGACAACGGGGCTGATCAATAAAAACTGAAATGTTACTGAAAATTCTTATGAAAAAGCGCGTATCTTGGTCAAAGAAGATTTGAACCAAATGAACCGAAAACATACAAATTAATGAAAAGCAAAAGATTTTATCCCACCTGGCGTATTTGGTGGAGGTACGTTTAATGTAGGTGGACTTGGAGGTGTGTTTCTTGGCAATGTGCTTGGTGGCGACGAAGGGGCTGATATGGAAATAATTGAAATGTTAGAATCTTAGGAAGAACACAAATCTTGGTCAGAGAAGGTTTGAACCAATTGAAATGTTACACTCATATGAAACTATGCTACTTTTCTCACATGTCTCCTTGTTCTTTCCCGGATGTTTTATTTTGTTCTTTTTGTTTTTGTATTGCAAGACGGGTCTTCGCGGAAACAGTCTCTCTACCCTTTTGAATGGAGGCAAGCTCTGTGTACATCCTACCCCCGAGACCCTACCTCTGTGTGGGATATACTATGTTTGTTTGGTTTTAGAAGGTTTGAACCAATTTAACAAAAAGCATAATCTTGAAAATTGAATAAATTAAAAGCAAAAGATTCTAGCCCACCTGGCAAATTTGGTGGAGGTACGGGTAGAATAGGTGGACTTGGAGGTGGGTTTCTTGGCAATGTGCTTGGTGGCGACGCCAAAGGGGCTGATCAAGAAAAACTGAAATGTTACTGAACATCTTATGAAAAATACAAATCTTAAGGGCCGTTCATTAAACACTTACCTTGGTAAGCGCTTACCGGTTCAATTACCTTACCAGATGAACACGATAATGACCAAGAATCTTACCCGGTAAGAAGGAAGACAAGGATTGAGAGTCTTACCCGGTAAACACTTATTGGGTTATAAACACTTGCCATCAATCCATTTTGATGGCCGGGAATGTTACCCCATAAGGTAAGTGAGAGTGATAACTCTTACTCGTAAGTGATTACCCGGTAAGCGCTTAGTCAGAGAAGTTTTGAATCAAATGAACAAAAAACTTTTAAATGAAATGAACGAATGAAAAGCAAAAGATTCTAGCCCACCTGGCAAATTTGGTGGAGGTACGGTCAGTGTGGGTGGAGTTGGAGGCGGGTTTCTTGGCAATGTGCTTGGTGGCGACGCCAATGGGGCTGATCAAGAAAAAATGAAATGTTATTGAGGATCTTACGAGAAATACAAACCTTGGTCAAGGAAGGCTTGATTCAATTGAACAAAAATCATATAAATCAAGTGAACCTGGCAAATTTGGTGGAGGTACGGTCAATGTAGGTGGAGATGGAGGTGCGTTTCTTGGCAAGGTGCTTGGCGGAGACGCCAATGGGGCTAATTAACAAAAAAACAGAATAAGTAAAATCAAAACGTTGTTCATGAATTAAAACACCCTCAATAAGGGTCTGCCTGTTGGCAGCTTAATAAGCTTAATGGGACTCGCAACTTATTTGGTCAGCTATACATGACTATTTGGTATTGGCTTAGTAATATAAAAAATGCTTATTCAGTAAGCTTCTAGGGGGAAGCTTTATGCAAAAAACCAAGTTTTTTTCCAAACTGTCTTTCTCGATTAAAAAAACATGCTCATTCCATTTATTAAAAAAAAACCTCCCAAACAAAAACCTTCCCAATCTATACAGATAGATTAATCCACACAGACAGCTTTATCCATACAGGACTTAACGGAAACCCAACCAGAAATAACGTTTTCTATATTTGTAACGATTACTCATGGCAAAGAGGCCATTTTCAATTAAAACTAGACCAAAAATGGAACGGCAATCACCTGATAAGTTAGAAGGAGGCACATCCAATGTAGAGGGAGCAGGCGGCGAACTCGGTAATGTGCTTGGTGGTAATTGAGCGGGGACTACATAAGCAAATAATATATAATTATTATTTGTCAATAAGATATCTCTCGCACATTTTGGAAAAGAGAAAACAAACGGCAATATATATATATATATATATATCATTACGTGGCAAGTTAGGAGGTGGTATGGGCAATGTAGGTTGTGTTGGTGGTGATGCCATCGGCAACTTGGTTGGAGGCGATGCAACGGGCTCTGCACAAATTATGTGAAATATAAGTTTTAAATATAATTCTTGATTAGACTAAAAATTTCATAATATACATCAGTATCCTCACGAAGCTCACCAGGCACAATAAATGGTGGTCCTTCTGGCATTGATGATGGTACTTGGGGGATGGATGGTGGCACGTGAGACATAGATGGTGCCACTTGAGCCACCGGGGGCGGATGAAGCACTTCTTTTGGCAGTGGTGCTATTTGTACTGCATTCAAGAAAACCCGGGTTGCTATTCTAAAAAATCATTCTCATCATAAATAGGTCGATGCACATGCGTCATAACAGAGTACTTAATGTGACCTTTAAGTCTATAGGACCAAAAACCCGCATCCTATTTAAAGGCGTTATAATAAGTTGTTAGGGTGAAGTTAGGTGACATAACAAGTTTTATCATTAGGACACAAAATGTTAATTGTACTGGTAACTTTTTAACGACATTTTCCTATTAGCCTTTTATACACATAACACTTTTCAAATGTGTCGTATAAAAAAGCTAATAGAACGATGTACTTTTTTGTCCTATTAGGTTGTCGAATTTTGCAGATAGAACTAGTTAGGTAGTCTAACTTCGTCGCCTTTAAATAGGATGGCAGTTTTTGGTCCTATAAACTTAAAATCTTGTCAAGTACTCTATTATGACACATGTGCGTCCTAAAAGACCCATTTTGTTGTAGTGACCCTTGATATCAGTATAGCATTAATCAAGAAACCGCCATAAAATATTTACCCGATGCAGTTGGCGGATTGGCAGGAGACTTGGTGTCGGGTCCCTTGTCTTGTTGAGGAATTGGTGGCACAGATACGGGGATGGTTGGCGGGATAACGGGCGGGCTTGGTGGTGACCCTTCTGGGATTGATGTGATTGGTGCTGCAACTTGGAAAATGTCAAATGTAAACCCAAGTACTCTATATGGTTTGACATATGAGGCCAAGACAAATTAGATCATCAAATTTGATATGAATTCTAGCCGATAAACTAGTCATGTTTGGTGAAAACTAGCCGAGACAATGCAAAATGATACAAAAAGACAATTTGAAAAATTAATTGGAAAATTATGTAAGGGGCACAATTGGAAAGAAGTTAAAAAAAGCCCCTAGTGCTTATTGAAACACTTATGGTTATTCAAATGGGGCTTTTCCAATAAGCTCAAAAAATAAGCTAGTTTATGGTTGCCAACATGGTCTTGCATGTGAGCCTGTTTGTTAGCAGCTTAAAGAGCTTAATGGGACTCGCAACTTATTCGATCAGCTATATGTGAATGTTTTGTAGTGACTTAATGATATAAAAAGTGGCTATTAGTAAGCTTTAAGCGAAAAGAAGTTTTTTTCCATAGCAGCCCCTCCCCAACTAAAATAACACGCTCCTTCTATCTATGAAAAACCCTTCCAAACAAAAACCTTCACAATCTATACAGACAGATTAATTCACACAAACAGCTTTATCCATATAGGATTTTGATGAAAAACCAACCAAACATCCCCTTAACGCAGTCTATTTAACTATTGTATTTGAAAACATTCTATTTGACCTCAAAAAAATCAAAGTGCACGCACCTGCAGCATCTGGCAGCAAGCCGGGACCTTTAGAAGGTGATGGTTCATTCAGAGGAGTGTTTGGAGACAAAGAAGGTTTAAGACCATTGTTCGCTTGTGGTCCTGATGCAGACTCAAAATGTGGAGAAGCTGAAAGAAAATCAGTATCTTAAGTTAGATAAATACGTCAATTAGTCCCCTCATGAAAATAGTCACTCTACTCTTTTGGGCAGAGACCAGGTCTGCATACATCCCACCCCCTAGACTCACCCTACCTCCAGGTGGGATATACTGGGTTTGTTTGGTTTGGTTCGATTTTTAGTCCCCTCACAAACTTAGGTCTGTTTGTTAGCAGCTTAATGAGACTCGCAGCTTATTCCGTCAGCTATAAATGATTGTGTGGTAGTGACTTAATGATATAGGAAGTGGCTTATTCGGTAAGCTTCTAGGGGTATCCTTATGCAGAAAGACTAGTTTTTCCGGAACCTGTCTCTCTCAATTAAAAAATACACTCATTTCATCTATGAAAAATCCCTCCCAAACAAAAACCTTCCCAATCTATAAAGACAAATTAATTCACAAAGACAACTTATCCACACATGACTTAATAAAAAACCAACCAAACAGTTTATTAGATAGAACCACCCTACCGTTTGGTTGAGACGTTGGACTAGTTGAATTGCTCGTTATTTGCGTTTCTTGAGTTACACGACGGTGTGATCCTTCGATAATGGGAGGAACAGCATAAAAACTATCAGACAGTGATATCGTGCGGCCTGAAAGCAAAGAAACTAGTGATGCTAGATGGACAACTCTTTTAGAAAAGTTCAAAGATTTCTTGAATACTTTGTTTTACCATGATTACAAAACTGCAATCAAGATGGGATCCAGATTAGAATTCAAGAATCATGAATCTGCTGTTTAAATTATTTAGAAAATATTAAAAGGCCAACCCTCCTTCCAAATCTAATAATAAAATATAATCATATTCTCCTTAAACTGCAAAAATCAAATCTCAAATTGTTTCATTGCATCAATCCCTGATTATAAATTCATCCAACCAACATTCCATCTACATATTTCCACAATTGGTGATAACAAAACAGGACCAGACTTGCCATATGAAGATGAATCAGCTCAATCCTCATAATGTAGCTCAAAAACAAACACAAGAATTAAAGAACAACCAAACCCACATCACAATTTGAGAAATTTCCCAAATGGGGTCTCAAGAAAATGGCTTGATTTGGATATAAACCTAAAAGAATTCCAAAAAAATTGAAAGGAACAGAAGGGTAAGAAAGGGAATTACCTGAAGTTTCTTGAAGAACCACAGAATTAACAATGGTGCAAGCTTGCAACACCAAGAAGATATAATACTTCACCATCAAATCCATCCCATGAAGAAGAACCAGCCACTAATTCCCCCCAAAACTCCCAAACCCAAAAAGAATCAAACCAAAATAATAAAAATAAAAACCCTTGTTATTTATTATACTAATAAATAGACTGAACATGTAAAAACTTGAAGCAACAATAAAAGAAGAGAGAGAAAGGGGTTTTTAGATCCAAGAAGACCCACAAACAGTGAACCAGAAGCAATGAAGAGAAAGAGAGTCAGTTCCTTGAAACACCCTAAAAAGGGTTTTCTGTGAGATATAATGAATCAAAGCAATCAGTTTTTATTATTATTATGAAGGAATAAAATGCTCTGTAATTTGCAGCATCATGTTATTTGTTACAGTTACAAAACAACTGCTCTCTTCTGTTTTCAAGAATAAATTAATACCCTTTTTTATATATTTTATTCAAATAAATTCATAAAAAGAATCACATATTCTTGTAATATTACCGATCTTTACACAAACCCAAGATTAAAAACAGCACTCGAGACAACAAAAATGGTTTCTTTATTGGATTACTTTTTGCAAAACTCTTACAACAGTTTTCAAGAATCAAGAAAGAGTGTAAATATACCAAACACACATGTAGTACACAGGGAAAGATTATAAAAAAGGAGGGTTTGGTGGGGATTGGGATGCTTTTTTACAGGTGAATTTTCTTGAAATCTTGAAAATGGGAAAACCCCCAAATTTCTTGTGACAAAAAGATTAGTGAGATGGAAAGATTAAGGAAAAGCATTAGAAAAGGGTTTGATTGGGGGTTTGGGATAAACCCAAGTGGATTAAAAAAGGGGTGGTTTGACCATTTTATTCCCTGGTTTTCAGTTGATGATGCTGGCCATACAACCCACCTTCAAGGTGGCATGTGTCAATTTGCATTTGACAACCCACCTTCTTTTTGTGTAAATATCAAACCAAGGGGGGTGTCAATTTTGTAATAGATCAGATTAACTTACATCTTTTCTAAATATATCCATTAAATTGATATCAATTACAGTTGGTTTGTACTATTGTATTAAATATGTAAACTTGATTTACATACAGTGTTGGAAATTGATTACCACGGTAGCATGATGGTACTAACTTATTTAGGGGCTGTTTGGCAATTGTTGAATGGTTTTGTGCAGAATGATTAAATGGTCAGAATGATTAAGAGGCTCTCATGATATAGTGCAAACTGAAATATAATTATTTGGTAATTGTGTACAATGAAATTAGCGCTCTTAATGGTTAAGGGAGATTCATGATACAAAATCATTCAGAGGGTTTTAGAACCATTAAGAGGTAGACTTTTTTTTTTGTCAAACAAGATTCACCTCTTAATATAACTATTAAGAGGTAAACAAACAACCCCTTATTTTTATTAGGTTTTTGTATGTTTAATATTATAACTTTAATTATTTTATTTTAACATTTGAATTTTTGCAAGTTTGTATTCCTTCATTTCCTTGTAGTTAAAACCCTTAAACATCACATATGTTACCCCTGGAAACTCAAGATGTCACTTAAAATTTAAATAAAATGGATAAGTTTCATTATATGTAACGTGAAGTTGGTACAAAACTAGTACCAACCGAAAAAAGTCGATATCAAATAAGTCAGTATCAAGTACAGTTGGTTGGTACACTGTATAATATTTTTGTATACCAATTATAGTTGTATGGCGAGTCGTGATTGTAGACTTCGTTCATAACTCTAAGGTAAATCTTCTGACAACCATAAACGCTACAGTCTGATGTATATTCAACCTCCATTTATTTCACCGGTCCTTTTTACGCTAGCGGAGTTGACATGTCGACACAATGATGACTTTTAAGAACGTTTTTCTATGAACCTAATGAGTAGGGTTATGATTAATTGAGTTGATTTATTAAAGTAAAAGTGCAAAAAAGGTTGTCTTAGTTTTTAATTAATATAATAAAAGATTGATTGATGTAAAAAAAAAAAGTTAAATCAGTACAATTTCTGGAGAACTAAACGCTTGTTACACTATCTGATAAAAATAAGTCCATCGTTTATACTGTATAATAAGCATAACAGACTTCATAGTAATTTTGATATGTGTTACCTGTTTACTAAAATCCTCTCGTTTTCTTGTCTTTTTTTTTCTTCATATAACTGATTAAAATTGCATGCATCAAAAAGTAAACTGATTATGAATATATATTATCAGTTCTTAACTAAAAAAAGATGAATGTTGATGTGATATTGTCTCTCAACCGTCAAATTTTATGATATTTGTTCTGAATTGCTAAAAATAGTATACGATTCTTATTTGTCAAAACATATCGAGTTTGTTTCCATGATTACGTTTTTTTTCAACTAATAAACCATGTTTTAGAAAATACTTTTTCGTTTTACTGAGTTTAAATTGTTATGTTACTGGTTTTATCAAAATATTTATAATTCAGAGTAATCTTGAAACTCTTGCTAAATTTGCTGTGAAACAATCTGCATACGAAGTTTATATACTTCACACACACAAACAACGAGAGGAGAAGGAGGGTTGTTTGTGGGAGATCCTTATAATTTGTGAGAATTATTAGATCTTGTCTAAATGACTGCTTGTTTACCTCTTAATAATTCTATTAAGAGACAGATTCTGAATCGTTAAAAGGTGAATCTTGTTTGACAAAAAAAATCTGTCTCTTAATGGTTCTAAAACTATCTGAATGGTTTGTATTTTGGGTTTATCTTAACCATTCAGCGTCCTAATTTCATTATGAACAATAACCAAACAATTATATTTCATTTTGCATTATACCATAATCATTAAGATGACTTAATCATCTAACATTAAACCATTCAGCAACTGTCAAACAGTCCCTAAAACATGCATTGTAATTAATTAAGAATTAATATTTAAGATGTCATTTATGTAATTTTTGATGAAGCCTTAATAAAACCATAAATTGTTATTTTTAATTAAAATAAATATAAAATTCAATAAATCAATATTAAAATAAAAGATTTAATAAATAAAATATTCCATTGAAACCCCAAATATATCATATTTGAAGACAACAAAATCTAAGAATACATGCCAAGAGACAACTTTGTAGGTTCAAACTTGTGATAATATGAGTTTTTTAAGCAATCAATAATAATTAAATTTATTAAAAAGTGTCAATTTTTTATTTAATTTTATTACATATAATATTAAGTTTAAATAAAATAATATAATAATAATTTTTTTATCGTGATTTTTTTATGTTTTTATTAAATTAAGACATCGAATATGGAATCTGTTGAATTTTTTTGTGAAGGGTTTGAAAGATAGACGCTAAGTTGTTAAACTGCTATTTTATTTACGATAGCAGGGGGCAAAGTTAGACAACGGCTTTATCGGTATGCCGCTCTGAATGTGTTTGAATTGGGGGCGGACCCACTATGGTGGAGACGGTGGCACATGTCATTAATTCATTCATCTGCAGTAGTGTAAAACTTTTCAAGGGTCGTAAAAGGTGTCACGGTATTCTTTTGTTTTGTGCAACTATATATTACTTGAAACTACAATAATAATACAGGTTTATTTTAGTATAGCTGATTTGCATAGTCTTTTTCGCCTTCTAAGCCAACATTCAAATCCCGTTTGTACCATTTTCTCAATTATAGCTTTTAATTTCAGTTATATACCTGTAGTTTTTTCGGGGTAACCATAGGTATTAAGATCAGCTTGTACGCACCAACTGATTTCTTGGACAACTATAAATTGTATGGAGTCAACGCAAGTGAACCTTTATTACCACAACAACTTTTACAACATCTGAATTCAAACTCAAAAGCAGATAAGATTTGCTACATCCTCTAAATTATAACCAGTACGATTATAACGTAGACAGTTAAAAAACAATCTGGTCAAAGTTATCGTATTAGCAGCATTTTATTCCGAATTTAATGTTATTTTAATTACCAATAAATCATGATAAAATATGATTTTGACATTATTTTGGACGAAACAATGTTTTTAGTATTTTCTACAAAATATTTATTAATATTTAATCCGTAATTAAAGCTTTAAATTATTGTATATTAAATCGAATAATAACCACCTTCAGAAGATTGTAGTGAGATTTTTTATGTACCGGTATTTATGGGCTGAGTTGATCGGGTTAAAGATAATTACGTAACTCAATATGATGTTTGTGGTTTGAAAAATCTGATCCAACCTAAACCAAAGTGCAACCCAACCCAACCCAAACCGTATGGGTTGGTCGGGTTCATACTTTGGTACATTAAAATATTATTCTAACCTTGAATATGTTACTTCTCTACTTATAATTTATTTTTCATCATCAATCATTTGCTACAACTTATCAATACTTCTTAAATCTTACGTATATCACATTCAATTAATTTTTTCAATTTACATATATATGTTCACATTTACTGAACATATATACAAATAAGTTACGTAGAGATGAAGAATACATTGAAAATATGTGTATATGAAGAGGGTATGTGATAGTGTAACTGTCCAATGTATATATTAATAGAAACACAACAATCATACTAAATCCAAGAAATACAAGAATATCGGATTCATCAGATTGGGTTCAAATAATAATAACTCAATTTCAACTAAATACATATGGTTTGAAAATTCTACAACTTGATTAGACATCGGGTTGCTTCGAGTTGACTTATTTTATGTTGGGTTGAGTTTGTTTGATCGGGTTTTTGAACACCCTCGGGCGTTACTATAACTTATGTGATCGTAGAGATTCACCTGCCATGACTTTAAGTCATTTACAGTCTCTTAAAAAATTAGTTGATACACGTAAACTTACCCGGAAACTGATGTTAAATGGCTACGATTGATACACGTCATCAACATGTCAGTTGCTGCCAGCTTCCACGTGTCCAAAAGCCCATATATTCCCTTTTTGTAATGTTGGCATGTGATTGTTTGTATGGACACCCTATATTTAGGGTTCATTTTGTCACCCCCGACAACTTGCAATTCAATTATTTATTTCGAGAATATATATTTTATGAATTTATAAATTTGAAAACTCATAAAATTGTGATAATTATGAGAATCTGTATATCATGTGTTATTTCATATGATATTTTTCCATCAACTGGTTGGATTTAGGGTTGTTTACCAAACACTTACCTAAGAGTTTTACCAGGTAAGAGCAAAGACAAGGACCGTGAGTCTTACCTGGTAAGTGAGAGCGAGTGACGACGAATCTTACCAAGTATAGCGCTTACTGGGCAAATTATTCCATACAATACCGTTTTGATGAACTAAAATCTTACCCAGTAAGTAAGTGATAGTGTTGAATTTTGACGGTAAACACTTACTTGGATAAAGAAACTAACGATTTAGTGTATTGATTAACATGTATTTGTTTCACGATGTGAACAACTTGTATAAAGTAAATTACGATCTCTGTCCCTATGGTTTGTTAATAATTTCAATTTTAGTCCTTGTGGTTTATAATTGTTTTTGCAATTTATTGATATTTCCGTTACTGGACCAATTCCTATCTTTCAAGTACAAGGGACCAAAATAGTAAAGAACTTTAAATCATATGGACTGAAACAACAATAAATTTTAAAACATAAAAATAAAAAATAACAATAAATTACAAACCATAGAGATGAAAATCAAATTTTTTAACAAACCACAGGGAAGAAAAACATAATTCACTATTTTTATATGTATACGTTAACCGATTTTCGCAGGTTAAACTTTTTGGAGTATGAAATATGCATACGCTACGATTTTGAGTGGACATCAACCAAAAAACCGAAAAAATTCGTCGAAATCAACAAAAAAAAATTAAAAATTCTTTCGAAACGGTAGAATTCAGCTAAAAACACCAAACGTCTTTTTAAGGACTAAAAGAATACTCGTACAATATATCGAGACACATCTCGATTTTAATGTTCTATTTTATTATTTGTCTTTGTCGATACTATCATACGATTTTATGTGTTTTTAAGAAAACAATAATGATTTTACTTTTGAATAAAATATAAATTTGAATATATCATAAAAATTTGAAAAAAAAATATCAATGTTAACATCAAATCAACTTTTTAAATTTTTTTATTTTTTATGTAATTTTTTAATTTAATTTTTTTATTATAGTTTAATTTAAGTTTAATAATGAAATAATTTATTTTTGGTTTAATAATATAACATTTTATAAAAATAACAATTAAGTATTCTCTTAGAATTCAATGATTATCCTAATTATATTTTAGATTTTTTATATTTAAAATGAGATGTTTATCCTGTATTTGATTATGTTTATCTGCAGTTATTTACACAAATTCAGATATATAGCTTTAATAAGTTGTACTTACGCATAATCTACTTGTAATATTGAGTTTTAAGTATTATACATTAATAAACAATACTTTACGCATAAAACGTATTTTTTAAGAGTTTTTGTCAAATTCTTTATAACATAGTATAGATTTAATCCACCTTCAAGATATATCTGTTCAACAAAAATCCTGAATCCAGTACTGATTTTAACCATAAATTTTAAACATAGAAAAAAAAGGACATGAGATTTGCAAATGCTAAAAAGAGAACATGTTCTCTGTAACATTCCCCACATGGGATTGGATTCCAAACCTAACCCTCAAGAAACTTTACCATCATGTGATCAATTACAGAGTTCCTTTCATATTACAATCGTTTCTGATACAAAAGCCACCGTCGGAAACATGAAGTAAGTCCACCGGAATTCTACATTACTCCGACAGCTCCTCCGGCGATAGGAAACAACTGGTTTTCCCGTTGAAATGAAACTGATTTGATAACCTAAAAACACAGTAGAAATCGAACGTTATTTTAAATTCGAAGATCTGATTTAGGCGGCTTAGTGAAATCGTCGGAGACGGCATTACCGGTGAAACGCCGGAGAGTTTGATCGGAACTTGGATTGGGGCATTGAAGAAGAAAGAAGGGTATTAGTTGGGCTGGGTATGTTATTGGGCTAAAGTGATCCAATCTGCCATGGCCCAGGCCCATAATGAAATATTGCTCTAATGTTGGGCCTTGGGAGTGGGCCTAGCTTTTTATAAGGCTTGTCTTTAAATAATCACAAATTTTAAGCAAAAAAAACTATTCGATTTTGAATGATGAAGGGGTCGTTTACTAAATACTTACTTGATAAGTGCTTAATGCATAAATTTCTTCATTGGATGAACATGAAAAGAGCCAAGAAGCTTACTAGATAAGAGCGATGAGAAAGATGAAGAGTCTTACCCGGTAAGTGAGGATGACGACTTTTACCCAGATAAGAACTTACCTGGTAAATGGTTACATTCGATATGATTTGATGTACTATAATCTTACGCATCTAAATAAATTATAGTGTTGACTTCTATTGGTAAACGCTTACCGGGTAAGTATTTGGGTAAACGACCCCTAAGTTTCTTAATTATTTTTAATTAAAAAACTATTAAAATTTTTCTTTTAATTAATTAAGTTTGTACACATTTTTTTTAATAAATAAATTATTGCCACTTAAAAAATTAATTACTTATATTTTTTTAACTCAAAAAAAGGTTACATGAACCAGCTGGTAAGAGTTTGATAGTTTTTTTGTTTTTAAAAAAAATACGTTTAATGGTTTTTTCATTCAAAAAAAATAGTTGAAGGACTTAATCATTTGAAATGAGAAAGTTTAATAATTTTTTCATTTGAAAAAAAGAGTTTGGGAACTAAACCATTTAAAATGAGAAAGTTTATTGATTTTTTTTAGCTTTTATTTATTTATTTATTTAAATAACGTGTTTCTATTTAAAATAACAAATGTTTTTTTAATGAAAAAACCATTAAACTTTGCCAATTTGAATGATTAAGTTGCTGAACTATTTTTTTGAATGAGAAATCGTTAAACTTTCTCATTTTTGAATGAAAAAACCATTAAACATTCTCATTTTAAATGATTAAATCTCTGAAGATCGATGGTAGGGGCCAACAACGTGTTAGACGATATGGATAATGGATAATGTCGTTGGGGACAAGGGCAACGGGGAGCGATATCGTTGTTTGTGAGGGTTTTAATAGCGTAAGGTTTGTGACGACAAAACTGATTTAAATTTATTTTTACTTTAAAACCTTCCTAGTCAGTTATAGGTAGTTTTTTTTTTTTTTTTTTTAAGATGCAGGTAGTCAACTTTTTAGAAGTTCAATGGTCTATTTATTAAAAAAAAATGTTTAGGGACTTAATAATTCAAAATGAGAAAGTGTAATGATTTTTTCATTAAAAAAAATAGTTCAGGAACTTAATCATTAAAAATGAGAACATTTAATGATTTTTTCATTCAAAAAATAGTTTAGGCACTTAATTATTCAAAATAAGATAGTTCGTTGAGCTTTTTTGAACTTTTCCCAACACAAATATACTGAAACAAACAAATATAATATTTTTAGAAAATAATCGTTTGAGGTGTCGTTATTAACGGCGGTCGTTAGTCTTCCTCCTCTCCTCTATCCTGAATCATGATGTAGTCCACCCTTATATCTAACAGGTGTCATCTCTTATCTGCAGTCTCCTACGAACATAGAAACACATTCCCCGTCCCCGGCCCCATCCCCGGCTTGAGCCAAGCGGGGATCCCCGTCCCCGTCCCTGGGACCCGATTTTTCGGGGAATCCCCGTCCCCGACCGGGGCGGGTGGACCGGGTTACCTGACGGGTCGGGGTCAATTCCCATCCTTAGAAACACTCCTTAACACCCTCAACTTTCTCATCACCATAGATGACCACTAGCTCTCCTTCCACACACCCACATACTGTAACGTTGTTGTAAAACACACATATACTTTAACAACCTCCTTTGGACTGCCTTCTACCACCAAACACCACCATCCCTATCTTCGAATCTTCTCCTTTCACATTTCCAACAACCTATGCACCATCGTGATCCTTCTTTTCTGTCGCTATGTTCTCCATACATAAACATACAGACACACAAGGACCATCTCCGATGAACATCCCAAGCCATCTCCAGTGGTCTTCTCCGATACCCTCCACTCTGGTGGTCTTCTCCTGCACCCTCCACACACATACAACACACACACACACATTGTGCATTGTGCATACATACATACATACATACATACATATATATACATACACACATGCATACTGTATGCACACAAAGTCCAAAATACATCACCATCGATCACTTTCTATGGATTCACACACAAATATATACACACACAGAGCCACAAAAACATCACCATTGATCTCTCTTTATAGATTATCTTTGTGTACTGTTGTGTATACGTCATGGGAGGATGGTGGTTGGAGGTGGGGGTCGATCACGATGAGGGTGAGGGTGGTGGCTGGAGGTGAGGGATGCTCATGGTGAAAAATAAGAAAAATACAAAAAAAAAATGTACAAAACGAAAGTACCTCTCACTTAACTGAGTTTTTTTTTAACAGTGTTAATTTTAAGGGACAATTTTCAAAGCAAAATGTAAACAGTAAAGATTATAATTGTAATTACTGAGTTTAGGAACCAAATTCAAAGATTCGTTTAAACCTTAGGGACCAAAATTGTACTTTACTCGTTTTAAAAATAACCAAATCAATATTATTCGATAAAGTAACCAAAGCTTTTCACTCATCACCATTTGCGTTGATTCGCTCTTCTTCCACTCTATCACAATTCACAAAAACCTCTGCTCAAAATCGAAAAACTTCAAATCATAAAACAGGAATACATCAAAAGATTAACAATTGCTTTGCTCTAATGGCGGAAAAACCCCAACCGGTTCAGGTATTATACTGTGGTGTTTGCGGGTTACCCGCTGAGTACTGTGAATTCGGACCCGATTTTGAAAAATGCAAACCCTGGTTGATCCAAAATGCAGCTCAGATTTACCCCGATCTTCTTCAAGGTACCCTTTTGATTGAATTTCAATCCCCTTGAATGTTTTTTCATTTTTTGTGTTATGGTTTTTGTGAAATCAATTTAGGCGCAAATGCGAAGGAAGTAGATAGAGTTTCAAATCAACTCCAATCGTCTTCGATTGCAGATGGCACTTCGGTTTATGGTAATTTTGATTTTTAGGCCTTTCTGAAATTTGAATTGTAAATGTTTTAATTTACATAATTTGTAGCATGTATGCTGTTCAAGCTGTGAAAGTGCCCTAATTGGTGCGCACGACGCAATATTTTAGGCTTATGGAAAAGGGAAATTGACCTAAATGGTCAACCCCATCAACCAAATTCACTTTGTAGCCACTTTACAGAGCCTCTTCCCAAAATAGCCAAAGTTTACGCAGAAATTTGAATCCTTTCTTCAGAAATTTGATTTCTGAAAAAAGAAATAAAGGAAAAAACTTAGAAGTTTGAATCCTTACGTAGAAATTTGAATCTTTACGCAGAAAGTGGAGAGTTTATGCAAAAGGGGTTTCTGCATAAGGTTTGTTTTTCATTTTTTTTTAGCCGAAATCAATCCTTACACATAATGCTCAAGGATTCTGCTGAAACTATGGCTATTCGGGGAAGTGGGTGCCTAACCTGGCTAAAAAGTGAATTGACTTTGATGGATTGGCTATTTCTTTTTTGTCAATTTCCCAATGGAAAACCCAATTATATAGCTAGTTTGCAAATAGGGAAAAGATAACTTTGTGTGGATGAGTAGCTAGCATGATAGAGTGCTTGTTATTCATCTGTAAGTTGGTGATGATGGGTGTAAACTTGCACATCGGCATGAACATATATAATGCAGTATGTGTTATCTGCTTCTGGCTATGATCTCATATATGTGTTACATACTTACATATGGATGCGTGAATGGGGAAGGACATGTATGCATGTTTTAATCTAATAAACTAACGCTAGAGATCACAATAGAATTGCATTTGTGGTGTCTCAGAAATCAACCGCCAGGTTACATATGATGGAAAGTTAAGTTTGTCAGGACATGAACTCAGATAAGAGTTATCGGAGACGCAAGATTGGGGTGGCTGACTACAGGTGGGAATATGTAGTTAGCCTAGATAGGTTGATGGGCGTATGGGTAGTACGGTTAGGGGTTGTTTGGTTGGTTTTTCATTAAGTTCTGTATGGATAAAGCTGTCTGGGTGGATTAATCTGCTTGTATAGATTGAGAAGGTTTTTGTTTGGGAGGGTTTTCTCATTGAAGGAAGGAGCGTGTATTTTAATTGGGAGAGGTAGGTTTGGAAAACAAAAGTTAAAAAACCTGGCTTTCTGCATACAACTCTCCCCTAGAAGCTTGCTGCCACTTTCGATATCATTAAGCCATTACCAAACAGTCACGTATAGCTAACCAAATAAGCTGTGAATCCCATTAAGCTCATCAAGATGCTAACAAACAAGACCTTAGTGGGTTAGCAGTTGGATCTTTTGAGTCCTAGGTTAGACCAGGGTATGCAGGTCTTCCGTTCCTATCTTGGTCTTGTTTTCTTGTACATGTTTCTGGTTCCATGTTTTGTTTTTTTGTCTGTTTGAATGTTGTTGCTTATTTCTCACCGGTTTCATTTTAGCACTGTCTTTCTTTTTTTCAAAATTTTCTTATTTTTCTATTATCGTTATTTTTTAGCAAGCTTTATCATTTCTTTCCGCACACTTCACAAGCTGATAGACCCACCTCCGGGTGGGACATAGGTTCGGTTTTTATGTAATAGTGTAATTTGAGTCCTCATGTTGGGTCTATGTCAGTGTAAATGCATTTGTAATTTCTATCAATAATGATCAGTCTATATTGTATAGATAAGTTCTTGTAAGGTGCACCATTGCACTAGGTATATAGGATATGCTCATGTTCACGGGATTAAAGTTTGAAGATAAAATGGGAACCAGATTTATGTTCTTAAAATTGACTTTGGGGACTAATTCCAAAATTTTCTATTAAAAAATTGGCAGGATATCCAAAAAAACTGCGGCATACCAGACCAGATTTTTACGTGTTCTTAGGATGTTCTAAACATATCCCCTTTAAGAACGTCCATGCCAATAGGTTATAACTTCCCAAGAAAGGAGACATGAGAAAAGAGACATTTTGTAGATTCTTCCTCTTGGCTATGGATGACGAAAGAGATGACATGAATACCGTAGCAATTAGCCAATACCAGGCGTCAAAATTTTATTATTAAGTTGTTGGTTCTGTGTTTTAATTCAATTCGAGAACCGAGTTGTATTCACTCTACTATATTATCAATGAAATAATTTTGCTTTATTATCAAAGATGTAATACATTGTCCACTCCTTTCCTTACCCGTTTTGAGATATATATATATATATATGTATATATGTATATATATATATATATGTATATATGTATATATATATATATAGGCGGTCATGTGAGAAGGAGAGTTAAGATAAGAAACGTTAGAAGGGATCTTGACCCTTGATCTCCTTTAATCTCAAACCCACCCATGACTCGTGCTTGATACGGGGATTAATTCAGTGCTTCTCATCCTAATGTGTATCCAAAGGTGAAGATCCCTCCTTATGCTTCTCACCTTAACTCTCTTTCTCACCGGAACCCAACCCTATATCTCCTAACGATGTTATTTCTAGAATCTTCGATACATTTTGAACATTCTTTAGGATCAAAACGGCAACATATATCATAAATTTTCCTTTCAATATTTGTTCGATCACAAACAATATCTCAAAAAATATCGACGATGACTTTTCTGCGGCTCATGATTTATTCTCAACGTTCAATAACAAAGAAATGATAAACCAAACCAAATGAGTCCAATGAGATACAAATAAATGATACTATCTTCTAATATTTTCTTTTCCAAAATGTCATCATGCAACCATTGTATTTCACATGACATCCACATATGTATTTGGCTCAATATAAAGAAACATTGATAATTTCCAATTGGCATGCATGAGTTGATATCTTACGGCTTCATTTGACTTATGTTTGAACAATATTTAGTTTTTTACTACGTTTTGTTCCTTCTGTTTTCAGTATCTTGAAACAAATTTCTAGAGTTAGGCTTCTGCGTGCTTAGATTTTAATTATTGGCTGCAGGCTCTTCGGCACCAAAGCAGGAACCAGTAAAGAAACTTCCAGGGGGAAAGATAAAAAAGAAGGTAGGAATTGGACAAGTTCTTTATATAAAGTTCATATACTTAGGGGCCGTTTGGTTGGTTTTCCATTAAGTCCTATATGGATAAATCTGTATGTGTAGATTAATTTGTCTGTATAGATTGGGAAGATTTTTGTTTGGGAGGGTTGTTTCGTAGTGGAACGAGTTTGTTTTTTAATTGGGATGGGCAGGTTTGTGAAAAATTTGGCTTTCTACATAAAGTTGCCCCCTAGATACTTACTGAATAAGCCACTTTCTATATCGTTAAGCCACTACCGAACAGTCATGTATAGCTGACTGAATAAGCTGTCATGAAGCTGCTAACAAACAGACCCTTAGAGGGAGGTTCAAATGAAGAACAAGGTCAAAGTAAGAAAACACGAGATTACCTGTATTCACATGTGATTTTACTTTCAGTTCACATGTGAATAGGGTCAACTCAGGGGTGTGTGCGTAATCACAATTCACATGTGATTGACTGTAAAATCACATGTGATATAGGTATTATCATGTTTTCTTACTTTGACCCTATTTTCATTTAAACCCAACCCTATATATTTGTTTGTATGATGCATATACAGCACACCTCATATATCTAGCTTTTTTATAGCACCCGTAATGAATTTTGGGAAAAATCTAAAGAATGCATCCCGTTTTAAAGGTCTTTTAAAAATTAGTCTTTTGCCTCTAAAGTCAAAATGTTTTTCATTATTTCGGATTGAGGGATTAGTAAAGAACGACAACTATTTGTGAGACAAAAAAATGTCTGAATTCTTGAGGTTCCTGCATAAGTGTTTGTTATTGAAGTTTTTCAACTATAAGAATCAAACTTGGAAGAATTTCTTGTGCAGGAAAAACAAGAGGTTATAATTGAGAAGGTAACCCGTAACAAGCGAAAGTCTATCACCACTTTGAAAGGCCTTGATCTTTTTGGTAAGTGTAATGCTACATCATGGCTTCTGTTTTATTACGAGATGTTACATGCATATAATGAAGCTTTATTTCCCTCTCTGAATAGTTGTCAATGATGATTTGATAGCATTTCTTGAATTTTCATGGTCACCGGCACCTTTGTCCAACTAGTTCATGGGCCAAAACGTTTTATCCACATGAACTAGACAATATTTAGGCATATCGGCCAACATCTGTGATCCTTGAGGGTGCGTTTAGTACACCAGACATGACATAACAAAACAAAAATCACTATTCCACATTTGGCAGGACAGGAACATAGTAGAACAAAGTGAAACAAGTGTGTTCCACCCCGCCCCATGGAACAAGGTGGAACAAACCTATCTTTTACCAATATAACCTCAAAATAAAACCTACTTCTTTTCTAAAACATCAAATACGCCTCCCTCTTTACGTTTTATTCATTCTTTAAATTTTATTTATTGTATATTATGCACTTTAAACTTTCACTTTACTGTCCTCAAAATATTATTTTTATACGATTTCTATATTATGGTTAATTATTTATTAAATACTAAAAGTAAAAAAATAATATAGAAGTAGAAAAGACAAATTGCTAACCACATAAACCTTTTATTCTGGTGTCATTTCAATCGTCTTGACAAAAACTTTCTAACGATATATTTTGTAATAAAAATATTTATTTTATTATAATTCAATAAATTATGTAAATTAATCAAAATATATAAAAGATGTAAACAACTCATTAGGGGTAAATTGATTACTTTATCTATTATGTCCTGTCGAGTTCTGTATTACCAAAGGCTAAACAATTTTCTGTCTTGTTCTGTCCTGCCTATCCGGATACCAAACACACCCTCAGAGCGTTCAAGTCTCTCTGTTTGTAAGTTTCTTGGATTCTCATAATGCGTTGTAGGTGTTAAACTGAGTGATGCTTCGAAGAAGCTTGGAAAGAAATTTGCTACTGGAGCATCTGTTGTTAAGGTACAATTTCGGCTGCACGCTTCATGATTCTGAAAAAAAATCTTTGAATTAATGAAATTCAATGAACAGGGGCCAACCGAGAAGGATCAGATTGATGTACAAGGAGACATAGCATACGACATTGTGGAGTTTATCACACATACTTGGCCAGACGTAATGAAACCTACTATCTTTTTTACTTGAGCTTGATAGTTACTGTACTAGGGGTGGGTTCAAGAGAGAACACTAAAAAAGAGAACGAGGGAGGTTCAGACGAAACTCCCCCAAAGATGAAAAACTGAGGCACACCTTGGTAACTGTTCATCTGGACCGTATGCACAGATGCATAAAAGTAATTGAAGCTGTTTTCTGGTTTTATGCATGTGTGCATGTTATGCACTTGTGCGTACCAGGCAAATTGCTTACAAATGACTTTTATGCACATGTGTATACTGTCCAGATGAATAGTTACCAGAGTGTTCCTTAGTTTTTCATTTTTTTTTGCGGTTTTTCCCCTGAACCTGAACTAAAAGAGAACAAAGGAACCAATCTGAACCATCCATCTGTTTTAATCCAATGATTGTGAATAATAGGGGCCATTTTGTCAAAACTAGATCCACGATCGTAGAGGGTTCATTTGTTTTCTCTTGAACCTTCTCTATTGTACTACCACCACGGTTTATTTTAGAGTTACCATATGAAAATCGAGTTGTAGAAGTGGATGTGTCCATCTATATCATATGAACCAACTATTTTTACCCTTGTACGTATCATAGGTTCCTGAAACAGCGATTTTCTTTATTGAAGATGGGAAAAAGGTCCCGGCGGTGTGAAATTTGGAGGTAGAGTATAGTATTTCTCTTCCACTGTTGGATTTCTAAAACTTCCAACTGTATCCTTGATAGAAAGAGTTGTTTTTGTGTTCATAAACCATATAATAAATACCCATTTTACCCTTTTCTTTCTTCTTGAAATCGCCTTCGATATATATGACATGAAGTACATATTTGATTTTGCAATATCAGCTATGGTTTGTGTTTGGTCTCTAGTGAACTTTTATGTATCCCTACTTACTTGAGATTAGGGTTTCTAAACGCGTGTGCCTTTGCATAATCTTTTACCACGAGTTCTATAGTTAAATCCATGACCTTCCGACATGTTTGAGAATACCACCACTTAACAGAAGAATGCCTAGAAACGTATAAGAAGGTCATGGATTTAAAAAACACCTGTAACTCGGAAGGTCATTTAGCTAAATAATTCTTTATGCACATAGTTCACTATTCATTGTGCATTGCAGATGAATAACCATATCTACACTTGGATCATCTTAGGTCTTTATGCACATAGTTCACTATTCATTGTGCATTATAGATGAATAACCATATCCACACTTGGATCATCTTAGGGGCTGTTTGGTTGGTTTTCAAGTCCTGGATGGATAAAGCTGTCTGTATAGAGTTGAAAGGTTTTTTTGTTTGGGAGAGTTTTCTCCATAGAGGGAATGAACGTGTGTTTTTTAATTGGGAGGAACAAGTCTGAATTTTTTTTGGCTTTCTGCATAAAGCTCCTCCTAGAAGCTTATATATCATTAAGTTACTACCAAAGAATCATGTATAGTAGACCGAATAAGTTTAGAGAGCAGAAATGAAGGGTTTGACATGCAAATGGTCGAATCTTGTCAGAAGGTCGTTTAGCTAAACAACCCTTTACGTACACGATTCACTATTCATTGTGCATATCAATAACCATATCTACAGTCAAGATCATCTTAGTTTTAATTTGAGAGCAGGAAAAAAAATGAAGGGTTTGACCTGCAAATGGTCAACTCCTGTATGCTCATAAGATTAAGAACCAGAACCAGCATGATGATGTGTGCTTGTGGAAGATGATGTAATGATCATTCATTATGAATACAGCCACAACTTCTGTTTTAATTTCTTGGACCACAATGTGGACACATAACATCAAGGGGACAGAAGAAAGATATGGAGTAATGGTGGGATCTTTCTTCTTTGTTCATCTTTTTTGTATGTTTGACTTTGACCCAAGAAGATGAGAGATGCCAAAAAATCTCTTGGTAGACATGAATTGGTCTTTCTTGGGTGGAATATTCTTCTCATTTTGGTGTGTAATATAAAGGAAATCTTGGAATTCATCTTCTTAGATATGGTTAGATTTCTTGTTGACCTAAAAAATCTAACTTATGACTATTAAAAATCTAAGTATGAACTATATCTGTTTTTTCGGGTATCTGTGTGGTTTGTTCTAGTTGCGAGCAACTCGACTGATAAACTGAACTGATATCATTTTTTGAAATATCTGATTTACATTTTAAAAATTCTTAACCATTGTAGAAAGTTTGAAATAAACCATAAGGATGGTGTTTGATTGGTTTAAACTTGTGCTTCAAAGATCAAAAGTGTTTGAGGATCCCAAGTTCGAATATGAGGAGGAATAAAAAAACTCCTTGTGGCCATGGAGGTTCAAATGCAGTGACTCCGGGCTGCCCGCAAAGCGGATGGTCGTCCTGGGGTTAGTAGACTCTAAAAAAAAGAAGTTTGAAACAAACTTTTATTCATAAAATCAAACAAAACATTCAAGAATTTGGCAACAAATAGGGACTCTAATTATTAAGTATTATGTATTGTTTATTAATGTAGATGTCTTAAAACTCAATAGTATAAATTATTACTGCATATACAAAAGAGTCCTTGGCCTAATGATATCTGGTTAGAGGATGTTTGGTTGATTTTCTATTAAATCTTATACTGATAAAGTTGTCTGTGTGGATTATTCTATCTGTATAGATTGAAAATGTTTTTGTTTAAGAGAGTTTTTTCATAAATGGAAGAAACATGTTTTTTTAATTACAAGAGACGTATTTCGAAAAAAAACCTGACAATACATAAAGGCTCCTAGATGGAGGTTTGAATCCTTGACCTCATGAGAAGTTAACTCTACCAGTCAACCCGATACTGCTGAGCCGTTGACTCTTTGGTTCAAATTTACAACTTTCTAAACCGTTACTATATACGTACAATCTTTTAAGCTCCATAAAATCAATCACTTTTTTCGGTATCTTATCAACCATATAAAACCATAAAAATAAAACCTAAAAACACAAACAATGAACCATAAGGGTGGTGCCTGATTGCTTTGAGCTTGACTCCAAAGGTCAAAAGTACCAGGAGAAATAAAAATCCCCTTATGATCACGGAGATTCAAATACGCTGACTTCGAACTGTCTATTAAAAAAAAACACAAACAATGTTGAGAGAAGAAGGTTCTTTAGGTACATTGCATCTTCATTCTTCACAATGCAAATGGTTAAATGAAAGTGAAAAAAAACAAAAGTCAAGTCGATGCAATTATTATTTTCAAGAAAATAAATAACTAAATAAATAAATAAATAAATAAAAGGAAAATTAGAAATTAAAGTCTATGTATGAATGATGTAATCTAAATCTTTTCAAGATAATTTGATGATGCCATTCTTTCATCTTTGATTTGTGGGATGTGATTTTTAAACTATTTAAAAATTTATTATTTTATAAAATATTTAAATGAATTAAATATTTAAAAACTATTTAATAATGAAAATAAAAAATTATGTAGACCATTACAATAAAACTGGTTTTAGGACCAAAGGGTCTTTTTGGCCTAACGGTATGTGAGTTTTTGGCCTTTTAGGAGGTCAAAGATTCAAACCTCACCAAATGTGAGAAGGGTGTGTGAGTTTATTTGTTCTATTTGTCATATACATATAAATATTAAATACTTATAGGCGACTTTTGAAAAATCGTCGTATTAGTTTTTCATGTTCATAATGTTATATAAAAAGGCTAATAGGACGATTTTTACTTGCGTTTCATATCAGGTTGTCCAACTTCATAAATAAAACCTGTTCGGTCGTATTTTAACCACTTACTGTAATGTTTTTAAATAAACCGTTCATTTTTGATCTTATAAACTTAAAGTCCCATTAGATATAATCCCACATGATCTGTTTTGTTGTAGTGAACCATCTCCTAATGATCTGATTTCTAAAACTGTATCCGTTTTGATTCATCAGATATCAAATTAAATATAACTTATACTGACCCAACTTTCAAAAACACATTTTCATTCGAATAACTATCGATTGCTTACTGAATTAACTGTTACTAAAAATCTGGCTTAAATAAAAGGTTTACAGTACCAAAATAAAACATTGAAATCTTTTAATAATGCATTGTCATTTTCAACATCAATTTATTCAACTCAATTTAGAGGACGAAGAATTGTTACTCACATGAAATCAGATCTTTTTGAATCATTGATACTGATACACAAGATTCTTTATAAGATTTTGAACGGAATTTATGTAAGCAAAATCTTTGATGACGATTCGTTGGCATCGAACAATGCAAATTCATACATGTCTCTTTCTTTCTTGATTTCGTATCGAGGGTTGATAAATTTCATACGATCTATAAAAATCTTAGACTTTATTGATTATTAAAGGATCTTTCACAAAAATGGCCACCCCTTTGGACCCCACACTCCATAACAATGGGTACAAGGGGACACTTCAAATCTTTCTTGGAACCATTTTGTTGTTCTTTTTTTAGTTCCATGATGATGTGGATTTGATTTAATAAAAAACCCATCATATATATATATATATATATATATATATATAGAGGGTTGGGTTCACGTGAGATTAATGGTTTTTCGTGAGACCTGTAAGATCAATTTATGTTCTTTGATCGACTTTATAAGCTAATGATCTAACGGTTTAAAGTTACACGGTGACAATTTTGTGATTATTGAGAAGTCTCGTGGCAATTTTGTGATTATGAATGTTCAGATTGTAGATCTAATCCAAGGGTTGAGAATTGGTCTTACGGGTTTCACGAAAAACACTTGGTCTCACATGATCCCAAGACCAATTCTCAACCCTTGGATTAGATCTACAATTTGAACATTCATAATCACAAAATTGTCACGAGACCTCTCAATAATCACAAAATTGTCACCGTGCAACTTTAGACCATTAGATTATAAAGTTGATCAATGAACATAAATCGGTCTTACGGGTCTCACGAAAAACCCTTCGTCTTACGTGAACCCAACCCTATATATACACACACACACACACACACACCCCAAGTTTAAGAAAAAATCTTTAAAAATGAAAAAAATAAGAACATTTTAATAACCGTTTATCTTTTTGTATATATATGTGCATATCGTAAAGATAAATAGCTACTAAAGTGTTTCTTAGTTTTTCAATTTTTGTGTTTTTCTCCAGAACCTGACTCCCCCCTCTCTCTATATATATCTAGCTCAAGAAAACTATAATTAAAAAAATAAAAAACTAAAGAACACCCTAATAATCATTCATTTGTTTGGTATGCAGATATACATAAAAATACTTGAAAACATTTCCTGGATATTATGCACATGTGCATACCTGACGGATTACCTTTATGTATATGTGCATACCGAACAAATTATTTTTATGCACATGTGCATAATATGACAAATGAATGATTATTAGAGTGTTCATCAATTTTAAGATATATGTATTAGTTTAAGGTATTGAAGATAGTCGAAGGAAAATGAAGTCAGATCAAGTAATTAACTCATTTAAATGCTTTAACGTGTTCTCATCACAACCATTATTCTCACACAGATATCCCCCACATCTGTGTGTATAATGACTCATATAAATAATTAAAATTTATATAAATCCATGTTTTTTATAGATTATCAGACTTACTACTACTTCTGGTTCTGGATCTGATTCTGGGATTTCCACGTATCGTCCAAATAACTGGTCCAATACCAGATTCTGAAAATATTTGACATAAAGAACATGAAGATCAAGAAAATCTTTGACATGAAAAAGATAACATGTCGATCAAGAAAATCTTTGACATTCAATAAAAACTCACCCCGATTGGTGTGGAATTTAATCTTTTGATGTGAAATGTAAAGTTGCATTTAAAACATGCAAAATCTGTTTATATTTTTTTTATTTAATTTTAAATGCACTAATTTTATTTTTTTATAAGAAAATAAATAAATAAATCTATCTTTAAACTTTCTAAAACTGAAACCCAATAAGGTTTTACATTTTGAGTGATTAAGTTCCTGAACATTGTTTTAAACAGATATTTCTTGATGTATCAACAGATCAGTAATAAAATACAGTAAACTAATAAATTGAAATGACTATATATATATATATATATATATATATATATATTTACATCAATATATACTGAATTTTTTACATGACAATAAAAAAAAAGTAATCATCAAAAATTTCTTAGGTTTCGTTTGGTTTGAAGGAATGAAATAGATTTGGGGGGATTTGCATTTCAAATCCATTCCAATCCCATGTTTGGTTTACTGGATTGTCCGGATTTGAAATCATAGGATTAATTTAATTGACATCCTTCAAACCGGTTTTGGTTGTTTTTTTTTATTATATCACAATGGTTGAAATATGAAAGATTATAAGAATAAAATATGTACATCAAAGAAAGGGATATCTTTTTAAAATATATAATATATATATACAACTAATAGAACAAATAAACTCACACACCTTTTCTCATCTTTGGTGATGTTTGAAACCCTTGATTTCCTAGGAGGCCAATGACTCACATACCACTAGACCAAAGTCCCTTTGGTAAGAAGGGGATATCTTTCTGTTAACTCGTTTTAGTTTTTTTTTTTTTTACCAATGTGGGATAATCAAACCGAACACCACATTTCAATGCTTTAATTAAAACTATGAAAACACGGTCATTTTCAATAATTGTTAACTAAGGAATTATGTTTTATTTTATCTCTGATTTAATACTTTATTAACAAATTTATTGTCACCGGACAATGCAGACCAAAAACTAGTTAATGTTAAAGGTCTTTAATATCTTATATATATATATATATATAGAGAGAGAGAGAGAGAGAGAGAGAGAGAGAGAAATATGATCAAACGAGAACGATCCCTATTTAAAAGAACATGAAAACGAGCAAATCATATGCAAAATTACATGTGATTTTACATTGATGGTAAAAAAAAGTGTCCGAGCGACTTGTGGCTGCATCTTCAAGTCGCCGGGTAAGATCGCCTGAATCATGTATATGTATTTTGTATGTGAAATTAGTGTAAAATTACATGTGATTTGCCTGTTTTTTTGTTCTTTTAAATATGTACCGTTTTCGTTTGATCCTCCCTCTACACACACACACATATAGGTTGAATTCACGTGAGATCAATCTGTTTTCATGAGACTACATTTTTACACTTGAATCTTTACAACAAAACATGGTGAAGGTAAAAAGAATCTGAACCTTCACAACAAAAAGATGAAATTTGAAGTGTAAAAATGTGATCTCACGAGTCTAATAAGAACAACCTAAGTATATATATATATATATATATATCTATATATATATATATAATATTATAATTTTTGTTTTGAGAAGATATGATTGGTACATAACGGTTTTGCTGTACAAAGTTGAAGCATGTGTAGTTCATAAGTTTAATTATGTATTCAAAACTGTTGTCATGGAATTTAATATACTGAGGGTCCACAAAATACACCATATATAATATATATATATATATATAGAGAGAGAGAGAGAGAGAGAGAGAGAGAGAGAGAGAGAGAGAGAGAGAAAGGTGAGTTATTATACAACCCCTTACATTTGTACAACCAACACAACTTAACCTCAACCGTCCATTTAATTTGATAAATATGTAATTTCATAGAAATTTTGATTATTTCATAATATAAAGTATTGATCATAATTAATAATAAATGAACTCTCATCATTTCCATAAATATTTAAATCATAATAAATGAACTCTCATCATTTCCATAAATATTTCAATTTATTAGGTTGCATTGGTTATACAAATATAATGAGTTGCATTTGAAACATATTCTCGTTTGAACGCCCTTCTTCTTTCTCCCCCCCCTCTCTCTCTCTCTCTCTATATATATATATATATATATGTATGTATCAATATATGATTTTGTACGTGAATCATATATGATTTTATATATTAATGACATTTTTCTTATGCTCTTAAATATTTAACGTTTTCGTTTATATATATATATATATATATATATATATATATGGAGGATCATACAAGAAATCGGTCAACTTACGAGAATGGTTAAATCATATGTGATTCTAGAATGAAATCACATGTGGGACACTTGGTCAACAAAACCAAGGTCGCAGGAAAACTAGCAGTTGCGACGGCTGGTCAACGCAACGTGTTTGTATCACATGTGATTTTACTAAGTAATCATATGATATTTGACCATTCTCGCAAGTTAGATTGTATGAATTTGATATTTTAAATTGTATGAATTGGTTAGTTTTAATTTGTTCACAGTTTTTGGTTTGCTATATTATAGCCAGATTTTATATAAATAAAAAAATAAAAAAATAATATAATTATAAATTATTCATTTTCAGATTAATACACATTTATAAACATTTATTTTAATACAAAATATGTAATAATAATAAAACACGTGCAAAATATGTAGATGTCGATGTAGAGGGAGAGAATACACACATAGTTTTAAACAACGTTGATTTTTTGTATTTTTGGTAGGGCTTGCGTGTACGTAATTACATATATAACCCTCTCTATTTTTAATTATCATTTCTTTTTTTTTTTTCTCTTTAATTTATTTTTGGAAAAAAATTAAAAAAAGCTATATATGTGTCTCACTAAAATTATACAAAAATATAATTTTGTTAAAATAAACCCAACTGCGATTCACATATGAACTAATTAACTGAGTCACATATGAACCTTAATTAACTGATTCACATATGAATTAATTAACTGATGTGAACCCGTTTTTCGTCTATTTGTAAAAGTTTCTCATTCAAATTATACAAAAAAATATTGTATAAAATACTGTATTTTGAAACATGTTGTTTTATATATGAAACGGTTTATGAAAACTGACGTATAAATTTATATAAATGATTAATTTTGTAATTTTTTTTTAAAGAAAATGATTAATTAATTAATTAATTAAAAATAGGAATTAATGAAAAGGCAAAGAAATTAATATGTGTATTAAATCATGTTGATCTTGATTTCTATATTTGGAAAGCCTTCTCTTATAATTAAAAATAAAATATTATTAAAATTGAATTGTCAACACCAAGTGTTTAAAATACCCCACATCAAATTTAATCCCACAAGACTTTCTCAATTTCTGTGGGTGTCCATGCTACGATTATTAATTGTTGTTTTGTGTATTATTATTTAATGGGATTATGAGAATTGAGGAATCAACTATTTTATGTATTATTCATGATAAATATTGTAAAAGATAAGATCAAAAGTGTCTGAAGATCCCACATTCGAATCCAATGAGAATTAATAAAAATCCCCTTGTGGCCACAGAGGTTCAAATGCAGTGACTTTGAACGAATGGTGGTTATGGAATTAATCAGATTACATAGCGGACTGAATATCTAGGTTAATAAAAAAAAGTATTTATAGTTACTAGAAGGGTACTCGCGCAATGTAGCAAGATACATCTCGATATTAATGTTTCGTTTGTTTTTGTCTCAGTCTTTGTTATAATACAGTTTCATGTGGTTTTGAGAAAACGATATTTTTTTTTATTTTTGAATAAAATATAAATACGAAGATATCATAAAATTTGAAAAATATATATTAATATTAGTACCAAACTAATAATTTTAAATTTTTCGTTTTTTTTGGGTGTAAATTTCTTATTTTTGCTTTAATATAATTTTTTATAAAAATAATAATTAAGCATTTTGTTAGAACTAAATGATTATCCTAATTATACTTTATATTTAAAATGAGATATTTATTCTCTATTTAATTATGTTTATCTGTAGTTAGTTACATAAATTCAAACACCAAGCTTTAATCAATTGTACCTACACACAGTTTACTTGTAATCTTGAATTTTAAATAATATGCATCAATAAAGAATACTTAATGCATAAAAAAATGAGTTTTAAGAGTTTTTGTCAAATATTTTATAATACAGTATATTGAACATCAAAATATATTATTATTTAATTTAATATATATTATTTAATTTCTTGGAAGAAACACTTTTAATTATATAAAATATATCTTAAAATGGTGGTTAACATCAAACTATACAAATTGTAATTTCTTTTTTGAGATAATAACAAAAAGTCTTAGTATTTTTATTTACTCAAAGGTATCTTCTTTAATTACATTGAAGTTACATTAATTTTTGACTTATTGGGTTCAGCCCATGCAACTTCCCATTTCTATATATACTCTTATTTTCAATTCTAAATCAACTTCATCTTTAAGCTTTCAAGTATCCATTAAGCTCTCATGGCTCAGCCTCATCTACTTCATGCATACCTTCTTTCTTTATTCATACTTGTAACCTGTTTGACACCAGGAACTTCAGTAAGATGGGGATTGAAAACTTCATCATTACCATCATCATCATCATCATCATCATTACCATCATCATCCCCAAATGAAACCCTAGCAAGTTCCCTATGTACAGACCCCAGTTGCATCATAACAGCATCTTCTGACTATGGTGAAATAGTTCAAGACCTCCCTTTTGGTGTTCTTAATCCTTCCTCCATTTCTGATATTGCCCACCTTGTGAAATCGTCGTATAACTCTTCGTCTCCGTTCACGATTGCTGCGCGTGGCAACGGCCATTCGGTGAGGGGTCAGGCGATGGCGAAAGATGGGGTGGTGGTGGAAATGACGTCTTTGAATAGTAGTAGGGGTGGTGGTGTTGATGGGAATGTTGGGATTAGGGTTTCTTGGGATGTTTCTTTAGGGTTTTATGCTGATGTTGGAGGTGAACAGCTCTGGATTGATGTGTTGCGAACGACGCTTGATCATGGACTCGCACCCGTTTCGTGGACGGATTATTTGTATCTTACTGTTGGTGGTACACTCTCGAATGCAGGGATTAGTGGACAGACATTCCGCCATGGTCCTCAGATCAGCAATGTTCATGAATTAGATGTTCTTACTGGTATGTATATATATATATATATATTACTATATCTATATATCTATCTATAGGAGCTGGTCCATTAGCATTAGGAACCTAATTTTCATTAGGAACCGGGACCGTCCACAGCACGACACATGACATACTTACGAAAATGTTGAGATTCATGATGAACGATGAACACATTCATATTCATCATGATTATTCATATATATGAATGTGTTAATATTCATTATGAATATTTATACCGAAGAGGGACACGTAGCATGCTATGAGTGATATATGATCTATATATATATATATATATATATATAGATCATCTCTCTCTCTATATATATATATATATATATGATCACTTTATGAAGTTAAATTTGATTTGGTGATATATTTATAGGAAAAGGGGAGTTGGTGAGTTGCTCCAAGAGTATGAACTCTGATCTCTTTTATGCTGTTCTTGGAGGTCTTGGCCAGTTTGGGATCATTACTAGGGCAAGAATTGTTCTTGACAAGGCACCAAATAGAGTAAGATCATATTCATCTTCAACTTAATCATATATATATATATATATATATATATATATATTCGATCTGTTAGAATCCCATATCGGTTAGACTTAGATCAGTTCTTTTTTTTTTCTATATACATACACGTTTGGAATCTTTCTTCTTCTCTCAATAGTTCGTTTGTACAGTAATATGACGAGATTCCAGATATTCTATCATGGTTTCAGAGTCGAGGGTTTTTGTTAAAAAGTAGTCTAATAACACGAAATGAACTTGAATGATTACTAGAAACATGCCGATAAACAAAACAAATTGCGGTATACATTCATACATGCATTCATGGATTGATAAATATATGATCCATATATGGCATGAATTCGAGATATTGTTTGTTGATTTCTTGTTATTACGTGTCGTAGGTGAAATGGGTACGGATGATTTACGAAGATTTTTCCAACTTCACGAACGATCAAGAACATTTGATCTCGATTCCTGGACTTGATTATGTAGAAGGCTTCTTGATCACTAAAAATAGTCCTGCAAACAACTTCTTCTTACCTTCCGATGGATCCACGATTAATTCTTTAGCGTCCGAAAACGGCATTTTATACTGCTTAGAAGCCGTCAAGTATTACGATGATCATAACATTACCACCATCGATGAGGTTAGTACGCATACGAATGATTTTGAAATCGAAATCTTACTTTTTTTCTGATCATAATTTTATTATTTCAGGAACTTGAAATGATATTTACAGCATTAAGCTTCAAATCTGGATTTATTTTCAAGAAAGATACGTCGTTTTTTGAATTTCTGAATCGGGTAAGAAATGAAGAGCTCGAGCTCGAAGCAATCGGGCAATGGAATGTCGCTCATCCATGGCTAAATCTCTTCGTGCCACGATCTCGAATAATGGATTTTAATCAAGGAGTTTTCGTCGAAGTTATTCAGAAACAAAGCAAGAGTTCCGGGGTCTTTCTTGTCTACCCAATGAACCGAATAATGTAATAATCAATCGTATCGTATAAGGGTCGATTCAAATAAGAAACTAAATATCATGAAAATACAAGAAGGGAACGTTAAAGAAATATTCACATGTGAATCATTAAAAAGATCTTAAAAATAATCTATTTAAAGATGCATATGTTACATTATTATTCAATGTGAATTCACATATGCATTTTCAAATAGGTTTTTTTAATTATTCACATGTGAATCTTTTCTCCTAAGCTTCTATTCTTACATTCTCATCATATTTAGCTTTCTTAGTTAATTGATCTCCCATTTGTGCTTTAATTTCTTGGATCTTTTTCAGGTGGGAAGATCAATCGTCGGCAATTATACCCGATGAAGAGATGTTCTACACGGTCGGCTTATTGCATTCAGCTGGCGGTGCCGTTGATCAGTCGATTATCGAAGAACAAAACGACGAGATTTTACGATTTTGTGATAAATCCGGGATCAAGATTAAGCAATACTTTCCACATTATCGAAAGAAAGAAGAATGGATGAAGCATTTTGGCAATAAATGGAAGGTCTTTCAAGAAAGGAAAGCTCAATTCGATCCTAAAATGATTTTGTCTCCTGGACAAAGAATTTTTAGTTCTCATTAAAAAAAAATTTAAAATAAAAAGGCTAAATATAATGAGAAGGTAAGAAGAAGATATTCACATGTGAATTGTTGAAAAAATCCATTTGAAAATGCATATACGACCCCCTATGAATAATTTGTACAATCTATTCACATATGCATAGTCATTTTGATTTTTCCAGTGATTCACATGTGAATTTTTCATTCATACCTTCTCATAATATTTAATCTTTTTATTCGAACTGATCCCTCTACGTTGCATTACGTGTATAATAAAAAGTTAAATTTAGTTTCTTTTAAATTTAATTTATAGGGTTAATATCGTATGGTTTCTTGTAGGGTTTATTGTAATGTCGGTCTATATATATATATATATATATATATATATATATATATATATATATACGGCCTTGTATGTAAAATACCAGTATAATATTTCCGATTGAATTGAAGATCCGTTATTTGGAAATTACTTTTTTATATTCATCATGGTATCATAGCAGAGTTTTTGTTTCCGATACAATTAAACCCTAATTCGTATAGGTCTCTAAAGAATAGATGTTCCAAAAAGTTACAACGCCAGCTTTTATGCGAAATTACAAGTTGTTTAAAACATAATAAACATGTTTGCATAAACATAAAACTATTATTGGTATTTTTAGCATGTATCACATTTATTGATGCAAATGTTGACAGTGTTTTGATAATCAGGGTCGTCCCTTAACATGTTAAATGTGAGATTTTGAATAGGGCATTCAAAATTTTGGGGCCCAATTTTACATATGTTTAGGGCATTTTCATCAATCTGTGTAAAGTTATAGCCCAAATTGTTTAGGTTTAGATATGAACTATTAATGATTTTAGGTTTAGGTTAGGTTCAGATTGTTGATTGTTTAGGATTAGCGTCCTTTTTTGCTTTATATATATATATATATATATATATATAGAGAGAGAGAGAGAGAGAGAGAGATGATCGATCAAATGAAAACCACCCTCATTTGTACAAACCGTACAAACCGTCCTCATACGTCGATTTCATTGTTTAATCTTGTGAAATTGTTTCATATAATACTATTTTTGATGAATTTGTTTCATATATGGTTATGAAATTGTTTCATATAATATTTAATGAAATTTTAATAAAACTGTTTCATGTATTTCTCTAAAATTAAAATAATAAAGACGATAATATCCATGATTAACACCCTCCACAATAAAAATGGTTAATCAACCTCTCATAGTTACAGAAAAATAAACAAAATGAAAAAATATGATTGGTTGAATGAGGTTTTCACGGTTTTTACAAATTGAATGGTTTTTATTTGAACGCTCCCCTATATATATATATATGCTGATATCTCTTATGCAATGCCATAAAAAGTTCTGGATGCAACAGAGCCTCCAAAAAGATTGGAACGTCCCTGTTAATAATCGACAAAATCCCTAGTATTAACGAGCTTATATGCTCATAACTGTTTTAGGAATTCTTAATTTGAGAAAAATATGAAGTTCACGCAACAGTTTTTTGAAGATCAGTATTTTATTCCGAGAAGCTTTCGATCAAAGAAAATCTTGATAGTATAGTCTTTTGACTTTGTGTGGGTCGTTAATTGTCAAACATATTACCTTGAGAAAAAATTAACGTTCTTTTGAAAAGAAAAATCAGTTTTATTTATTTGTTCTGAAAGTCAAGTCTGAAACAGTAAAACTTGGCTTTGAGTCATGTTTAAGGCATGTTATGTTGAATTAAATGATGTGGAACGCGGCGTTGAGTCTTTTAGACATCCATTTGTGTTGAATCGTGTAGATATCGGCATGTGTTGCATGTTTATTTGTTTTCATGCAACAACTGTTTTTTTTTTCAAACGATCGTGATTTTCGGTATGTAGACTTTTGGTTTTTTTCGTTCTCACCGACGACTGTTTCCTTATGCTAATACGTACAAAAATGTTTCGAGATAGACTTGAGAAAGTGGATTAAGACAAAGGGTATGAACCACTGTAATTCACATTGCAATTATTTTTAACTTGAAGTTCTTTAAGACTGTTTGACAGTTGTTGAATGATTTAAATCGTCAGAATGATTAAGAGACTCTCATGATATAGTGCAAAATGAAATATAATTGTTTGGTAATTGTTTACTATGAAATTAGGACGTTGAATGATTAAGGGAGGCTCAAGATACAAAATCATTCAGAGAGTTTTAGAACTATTTAGAGACAATTTTTTTTTTGTCAAACAAGATTCATCTTTTAACGATTCAAAGACTGTCTCTTAATGAAACTATTAAGAGGTAAACAAACAACTCCATAATAATAAATTACAAATGATATGAACGAAAATTGCAATTTCAAAACTATAGAGGTGAAAGTCGCAATTTTAACAAACCATATGGACAAAAAATGTTATTTACTCTAAAAAACAAGAAAAATGGTTGTTTGTTTACCTCTTAATAGTTTCATTAAGAGAAAACATCTGAATCGTTAAAAGATGAATATTGTTTGACAAAAATAAGTTTGTCTCTTAATAGTTTTAAAACTCTCCGATTGATTTTGTATCATGTGTCTCCCTTAACCATTCGGTGCCCTAATTTTATTGTAAACAATTACCAAACAATTATATTTCATTTTGCACTATATCATAAGAGTCTCTTAATCATTTTTTGCACCAAACCATTCAGCAACTACCAAACAACCAACTAAAATTACATAACTCATCACCACTACCGGCAAAAGAAATTACCCTCCCTCACCTTATTATTTAATATTCTCGACCACCAAAATGAATTGTTGGTAAGCGTATTATATCCGTTAAACATTTAACGGAAAAGACTCGATCCTTGTCATATACGGCAATATGTGTCAAATACTTACGCGTACTCCTTATTTTGGGTGAAATTTAAAACCGTCAAATAGGGAAACTTGAAATAGCTTTACCATGTCGTAAATTTCACATATACGACACGGTGCCAATATCTGAACCCGCATTGCTATTACCGCAACATGATCATAACAGTCGATTTTAGACGAGATGAATGTTTCGGGATAGAATGTCATTAGTGTCGCGAGCTCGAAAACCGAAGTGGGCTTCGTGAAAACGGAACTCGACTTATTACAATCATGCTAACTGTTGGTGCAAGCGAAGTTTTAATGATTGACAAACAACGCGAATTAGGTTCATGGTCTACTGTTTGTCGTTGCTATCGATACCATCCTTTATGAACGGCAAAATGGCGGAAACTAATTCGTCTCGGTGTCTTTTGTAGACATGGTTAGCCCCTTCGATGATTCGTATTTTGTGGTTCTTTATGATCTTATCAAACTCCGACGCATCTTCAACCGGGATGATATCATCGGCTGATCCATGAACGGTCAAAACCCGACAATCTTTGTCGATTTTAAGTCCCGCTTCATGCATGTTCGTGTTCAAACGTTCCATCAGATTTTCTTCAGTCACATGAAGCAACACTTCTCCTACATAAACAGTTGAAATTCTATATAAATCGAGCAACATTGTGTTTTTAAATCTGTCAGAAGGTTATTATCGTAAATATACGCATATCATGATTGTAGATGGCTAACCTGTTCCGGATTTGACATCGATATAGCCGTCTCGTTTGGCTCTTTCCAAATAGTTATCTCCCAAACGCTGCTCGATTCCCCTGTCCAAACTACAACGACCCGACACGTTGACAACGGTCTGGACATCACGATGTAAAGATGCGTATAAGAGCACCACATCCCCACCTGTAAAAAGATTTTCCCGATAACAATCAAGTTAGGAGCGATCATCACACACATAATAAGAAGTTGGAAATAAATAAACCAATCGAGCCAAGTATATCCCACCCGCAGGTGGGCTCGGGAGTATGATGTACACTACAGATGCATAAGGCCCGGGCCTTCCATGCCCGTTTTCAGTAAGCAAAAACACCCAGGCTTTTTTGGGCCTATACAGAGCTTTAGGTGTGAAAATAGGCCCAATTAGCTTTTTCAAACCGTGCTTTAACCGGGCCTTGAAGTTTTTGGGCTTGTTATGCCCGGACTTTTTCAGGCCAAATACCAGGCTTTGGGTGTGAAAGTAGGCCCGATCGGGCTTTTTCAGGCCGGGCTTTAACCGGACCTTGAAAAAGAATTGGCCTGATCGGGATTTAAGAACAGGCTTGCTACGCCCGGACTTTTTCAGGCCTATACCGGGTTTGGGTGTGAAAATAGGCCCAATGGGGCTTTTTCAGGCCAGGCTTTAACCAGGCCTTGAAAAAGATTTGGATTGATCGGGCTTTAAGCACAGGCTTGCTTGGCCCGGATTTTTTCGGGCCGGGCTTGGACCGGGCTTTCGGTAAAGTTCAAGATGACATACCTTTACTATGTCCAACGATTGCAGTTACAATACGATTCGCTTTAGTAAAGTGTCGGACTACTTCATGTAAGTCGTCGACCTCCTTATGATAGTTAGCAAATTGGAACGAGCCTTCACTTTCACTAAAATACATCAATTGCTTACTATTAGATCGAATGGTCAGAAAAGAAACGCAATTTGACTTACGAGTTGGAATATATTACTCGTCATAAAAGAGTTATTAAAAGAGCCCGAATCCCCGGGTGCCGTCACCCTTGCTATAAACCGTATACGAACTCAAAATTTCATAACGACCAACGTCATACATATAATAATCGTAGTCCGACTATATTATCGTAAACTTCACATATGCGGAAACGTTATAAATATCCGTTCAATAGCCTAACATACATACGGCTATTAGAAACAGTAACGCTTCATGGATGTCAGTTTCATGGAATATGTAAGCTTTAAGCTTAGTGAGCAGTTATGGTTTCATGCAACAAACGTTTTTCAAGAAACATATCATTTCTAAGCCGTTTTGAACCCTTATTCATATCTACTTGTTTCCTCCATTCACATGTGAATATATGAACTTCAAAACAACTAAGCATTTATCTTAAAAGTTGATAGTGATTTTGATGCAAGTTTTAGTATGAAGTGTTTCTATTTATAGTATGTGTATTACGTTCCGTGTGTGATTAGACGATTTCTTGAAACAAAAGAGGATTCATACCACCTTTGAAGTCGAGAATTAGTGTATTCGACCTTAAAAGGTCAAACTGTACCGCTTTCTCTTTTTGAACTAAGAGAGTAAGGGGTCGTTTACTAAACTCTTACCAGTAAAGCGTTTACTGGGTAAAAGACGTTTACCAACAATGGTCGAGAATGTTACCCGATAAGGTAAGTGAGGGTGGGTCGTCTTGCTGGTAAGCACTTGGTAAACGGCCCCTAAGGGTGCGTTAGTATCCAGACAGGATAGAACAGGACCAAATAGTTGTTCAGTATTTGGCAAGACAAAACAGATAAAATGACAGTTTACCCCTAATGAGTTGTGTGTGTGTATATATATATATATTGATTAATTATGTAATTTATTAGTTATAATAAAATAAATATTTTTTATAACAAAATATATCATTTAAAGCTGCGATTAAAATGACACCAAAACAAAAAGTTTATGTAGTTTCCAATTTTTATTTTATACCTTTGCTATATTTTTTTATTATTATTACTATTTAATAAATCATATAAATTAATAAAAATATAGAAACTATTGAAAGATAATATTTTGAGGACAGTAAAGTGAAAGTATAAAGAGCATAAAATACAATAAATAAAATTTAAAGAATGAATAAAATGTAAAGAAGAAGACCTATTTGATGTTTTAGAAGAAAATTAGGTTTTATTTTGAGGTTATATTGGTAAAACATAAGGCTGTTCCACCTTGTTCCATGAGGTGGGGGTGGAACACGCGTGTTCCACATAAAAGTTCTGCCAAACATGGAACAATGATCTTTATTCTGTCCTGTCCAGTGTACCAACCGCACTTTAAAAGATGACAGAAACCAAAATGCATGTTCGTAACACAACGGACTTACCCGTTTCCGGAAAAATCAAAGCGGAATACACTGATCCCTTGTTTTTCCACTGCAGATGCAAGGTCCGTAATCAGACTATGATCCTGAAAATCGAACATACTCATGATGATCGTCCCAAAATCAATATCATGTGTATGGAACATTAAAATTCAATATAAAGCGGTCTCCTGACAAGTGCTTTTTAAATTCATGACCTTCTGTGCATTCTTCTGTTAATGCAGTGTCAAAAGGTCATTTAACCAAAGGACCCATTTTACAGATATAATTCGGTGCAATAGTCTTGTTGTGTTTTTTAAACTATGCTCCTTTTGATATTACGTAAAATTTACAAACTTGAACACGAAAAAACAGCCAAAAAAGAATCGCATACCTTTGTGCATTGGTAGCCATGGCATAAGATCACAATCTCTTTAGAGCCGGTTTCGTGTAACAAACCCACAAGTTTCTCGCCGCAATTGTTTTGTATGATTATTTTCTTTTGTTCGATCCCTGAAACAATGCAAGAAAGGCTTTCAATCATCTTGGATGCAAATAAAAATCCCCTTGTAGTCACAGAGCTTCAAATGCGGTGACTCCAGGCTACCCACAAAGCAGGTGGTCGTCCTGTGATTAGTCTGCTCGCATAGCTGGTTGGATATGTTGATATCCAGGTTAATCAAAAAAAAAATTCTCAAATACTTTTAATTAAGTAAACTACCATTTTACCCTTAACAAATAGAGGGAGTAATGAACTTCTTCATGTCATAATTAACGGTATAATTGGAAAGCAGGCACTTACTTTTGAAAGCAGACACTACATTTGGGACAAACTGGAACAACCCATTATACATGTATAGAAAAAGTAGATTTTTGAGATCCGAGTTCAAAGTTGTGGATCCAATAACTTCTGCCATGGTTTTAAGTTGAATACAAAGTTATTGGGTCAGTTTGCTGTTTTGAGCTACAGGACCGCCGGGACGTTACACAAACTAAAATAGAAACGTAGACAACTATTTTGTGACGGATGGAGTATTATTGAGGAACAAAAATCCCCTTGTGGCAACGGAGGTTCAAATGCGGTGACTCCGGGCAATCTGCAACGCAGGTGGTCGTCTTGGGATTAGTCAGCTCGTATAGCGGGATGGATATCCAGGTTAATAAAAAAAAAGTAGAAACAACATAAAAGTGATCTCTCTAACTCCCAAACCCCATAGCAAAGTATCCATGGTGACCATGGTTGAGATGGTTTAAGGTCTACACTCTACACAAAGATATGCCATTACTTACACCGTGAAAAATTCAACCGTAAATATTTTGAGAACCCAAAAACCAACTATTCCATGACTTATTCATAATGAATAACCCTAAATATACATGAGTATCATGATTTTAGTTGTTCACATTCATAATGAATGATTCATGAATAGCTGGCTTTCCCAGGTTTCTACTGAAGAACCAGAAACACAAATTAACCATCTGTTTTTACTGAAGAACCAGAAACAAACTATGATTTGCAAGAATTCACGATTTAGAACAGATTTGTGGGAATGTGAATGCTGAAAGCCATCATAAACACTTTCTTCTCCACCACTATTCATTATGAATACCACATCTGTGCTATTCAAGGAAAGAAACAGATACACTAAATTAAACACATATACGAACTTATAATGAGTTCCTAAAATCAAATGGCTAAATTGAAGTTAATTAGTCCTAAAAGATCAAACCTAGTGATGGATTACTCATCATCTCAGAAAATTAACCCTAAAAGATTACTTGGGTAACTTGCAATTGACGTCGAAAGATTACCTGAAATCTGACCTGGATTTTGATCGGCGTTTGTGGCGGAGGCGGTGGTGGAGCCGGCGGCCGCCATCTTGAGGTTAATTTTTCTTCTGATACTAGTGGAAGAAGAGTGGTGGTTGGTGGATTTGAATCGAGAATCTAGCGAAGGAGTTTTGGTGAAATTGGAGGGTGTTATATAAACACTATTAGGAATGAAAGAGGGAGGATTAGAAAACATAAAAAAAAAACAAGTAATATTTTGGTAACTATTCATCTGAACGGTATGTATATATACATATTGATAATTTAATTAAAGTTGTTTTTTGAATTTTATGTATATGTGCATATCAGATAAATTGTTTAAAAATTAAAATTATGAGTATGCACATATACATATCGTCTAGATAAACGGTTTTCAAGATATATCTCAATTTTTTATTTTTTTAGAGATTTTTGGAAGATAATCATGTATTAAGTGGGTAAATGCCTGCATTAGGTCAATTTTGCATCATGAAATCCAATAAAAAATGTTTTCCCCCCTATGATACATAGTTGACAAGTTTAACAAGTTAGATGAGCAGTCAATAAGGACGGTGACGTGTCCTGATCAGATAGAGAACTCGGCTCACCCGATCCAAATGAGACCGGGATTCCTTGCTAAAACGGGTCCTAAGGCTGGGGCAGGGCTAGGAGATGTTACTCAAACCGGGGCCAGGGATCCTTGGTAGACTCAATTTAACATATGTTTTTCATAGGGTTTGATCGGGGTTTTACTGGGGTTTGACCGGGAACGGGATATTAGAGAATTTCTTGGAGATATCTAAGGGTCCGTTTGGTTTAAATAATGGAATGAAATTGGGGGGATTTGGATTTCAAATACATTCTAATCCCTTGTTGGTGTCTGATTGGTTTGAGCTTGGCTCCAAAGGTCAAAAGTACCAGGAGGTCACAGGTTCAAATACAAGGAGAAATAAAAATCCCCTTGTGGCCACGGAGGTTCAAATGCGATGATTCTGGGCTATCTGCAAAGCAGGTGGTCACCCTGAGATTAATCGGCTCGCATAGCGGGTTGGATATCCAGGTTAATCAAAAAAAAAAAAAAAATCTCTTGTTGGTATGCAGGATTGTCTAAATTTGAAATCTAATGATTCTGTTGAAATCCCTCAGACATAGGATTTTGAAATCTCTCGAGGTAGTTGGGATTTCATAGGATTGTAATATAATAATGTTCTAAAATATGTTAAAAATATTTATTTTCTTATAATTTATTAATAAAAAGGCACCTTAATTCATTTTATAATTATTTATAATTTGTTTTTATAAATTATTTATAAAAAATGGAATTCCATTCCAATCCAAATCCCAGTAAACCAAACACACCAAAGATTCCAAATCCTTCCACAAAATCCAAATTCTTCAAAACCATTTCATCAAATCAAATGGCCGCTAAGAGCGCTGCCATCATACCGGTCCTACAACCGTCATGGAAGGAGGAAAATCACATATCCTTAGAGCAGAGGTGTAAACCTCACGTATTCTGCAAGAATGTCCACCTCCTTACCTGTTACGCTAAAAACGCGAAAACTCTATCACCTTCTATTATGGTTGCAAATGATTCGTCCAATCATTTCTCCGGAAGATGTATTTCAAAACGGGCCCATACAATTCATCTGTTTCATAGAAGCATACTGAAGTTGATTGTCATTTTGTTCGATCTGCTATTTGAGAGAGTCTCGTTCATCCTTTTAACGTTCCTACTAAGTTGCAGTTAGCGGATATTTTTAATAAAAGCCTTGGACCGACCACAGTTCGAGTTTTTTTTCCTCGCAAGTTGGGCATATGTGATCTACATGTTCCAACTTGCGGATTCTTCTACGGGCTACACGTATTTTAGATCGATACTGAGTTGGGCTTTTATCCATTTATGTAGTTGGCGTATGTTCGGATGTATATATTCTCTACTTTTTCGGATTAATGAGCGGATAATAGATTTCTCATATGCATTTGATCCCGAAGTTATACATGATCCAAAAACGAATCCATCGTTTGGGTCTAGAAATCATTTACGTTGAGAAAAAAAAAAAAAAAAACTAAAACTAGAGCTACTTCCGTTACATTTATGTTGAATTTTCCTGGTTGTGATCCACAGGTTCCTTTATGAAAGACAAAACAATGGAAGCTAATTCAGCTCGATGTTTGGTGAACCCATGGTTCGCTCCTTCGATGATATGTAGCTTGTGGTTGGGTATGATCTTTGCGAACTCCAATGCCTCTTCGATTGGGACGGTTGAATCCTCAGATCCATGAACGGTCAACACCCTGCACAAAAAGATTGCACTTTAGGCGGTCATAGTATCTGAGTTACTGGTAGAGTACAGCCACCCACCGAGAAGGTCAATGGTTCAAACCTCACAGATGGTGATAAGGGTATGTGAGTATTTGTTGTATATAAATATTATATACTTAAAAGAACACTTTTAGGGGGTGTGGTTGAACAAAGGGCAAGCTTTTGGTAAACTGACTTTATTCCAATTATGCCCCTAATTTTTATCCAATTAATTTATGGTATATTTGTTTGTAGCTTATTAGCCAACACACTAGCTTTTTCAATAACTAGTTTTTTAGTCAACAACTAGCTTTTCAGCTAGCAGCTAGCAGCTAGCTTATTAGCCGACAAACTAGCTTTTTAGCCAATTGGCTTTTCAACTACCAACTAGCTTTTTAGCCAACAACTAGCTTAACACATCTCGAATCTGAAATGAAAAATGGGAGTAGTTTCTTTATCTTACCGGCAATCTTTGTCAATCTGCAGGCATGTTTCATGCATATCTGTATTCAACCGATCCATTAAACTTTCCTCGGTCACACGATATAAAACCGCTCCTACACACGAAGAAAACTAGTCGGAAAACGCAAAAAATAAAGTTTTGAAACATTAGTTTTATGTTTTCGGTTAATTAGACATGATGGTCATTGCTAAAATACCTGTATTGGCCTTAACATCGATAAAACCATCTTGCTTCACTTTTTGCAAAAACCCTTTTCCCAATCGCTCTTCGACGCCCCCCTTTGTGTTATAACGTCCACACACATTGATGACACATTTTACATCATGATACTTAGATGCGTATAAAAGCACCACATTCCCGCCTGTAAGTAAGATAAGACATATACTTAGAGACGATGTTCTAAATGGCGTGGCGGCGAGATCAAGACTCAGATACAAGATAAGCATTAAGCGCTACCAGAATACTCATCATTATCTTTTCAAAAAAAAAACTCCATCACTAAAACTAAATAAATTACATATTTGATCTAAAATGTTTAAATTATAATAAAAATTAGCATTAAACAAGTTATACCCAAAAAGTGAGAATTTGCAACTGGTATTTTAGCAGCTTGTTAAAGTGTTACTTTATGAATATTAAATTCAGAAGAAGTAGATTTCGCAAGTTGCAAAAGTGCTACTTGAGAATTCTTGGCTATCTTTGTCAATTAAATAGAAAAATGATTATAAAATGAATTGTTGGGGGGGGGTTTATCAGCAAGACATTCAATCACTACTATATAACGTATTGAAAAACGATATCGAGTGTTTGATGTGTACAGTCGTATCCTAGCATACCTTTACTGTGTCCGAGGATGGCACTTGTGACACGATTAACTCCGTTAAAGTGTTGAATTACTGAATGTAAATCATCAGCCTCTCTACGATAATTACCATATTGAAACGAGCCTTCACTTTCCCTGAAAAACAATATTTGCTATGTAACACACTAAATTACAAAATCAACGATCTTCAAACGATTTAACAACAAATCTTTACTTTTTTTCATCAATTAACACTACAAATACTTGCAATACTAATAGTTTTACTCGCACTTTGTAAATCCTTTTGACATACTAATATACAAAATTTAAACTTAAATAGTTCAATTTATTTGAGTTGTTATGTTCATATAATTACACCAATCTTGGAGTTTCGATTTGCATAAATCATCTCAACTACATTGTAATCGGCCGTTTAATATTGAAACCTACCCATTTCCAGCAAAGTCAAAACGAAATGCACTAATGCCTTCCTTCTCCAGTGCAGAAACAAGGTTCACCACAGTATTGCTATCCTACAAAATCAAGAATCATCAATGAAGTATGGAATGCCATATCGGGCCACAAAGGATCACTCCAGTCATCAATGGTTTTCTTAACCATATTCAAAATTTTCACTTAGCATATGCAACATTCTAAAAATGTAAGCTTTAAATACCGAAAGGGAACAAAAGTCCACATTTTTTTTGCATTAGAACAAAAGACCAGTTCTAGCGCATCCTATAGATGTTGGATAAGATGGTAGAGGGCAACCCAGAGGCTTCTCGGTTTTGCCAGGGTTGGGGAGGGAAATCTCTGTACGCAGTCTTTTCGTTTCTTCAAAGGGGAAATCAAGAATATTTTATTATTATGATAAGCAAACGTAGGTAGTATATCGCACTGGTAGGGTCTTGAGGGAAAGATGTACGCATAACTTTCATCCATCCCAAGAAGTAGGAAGATTGTTTCCATGGCTTGTGAAAAAGGTTTTTGAAACTTTCAAGATTTTGGAATGTAATGAAGAGCTTGATAAAGCGGATTTTTTTTGTAAAAGCAGAGTGTTTGCAAAAAGAAAATGAAGAACAATGGGACATTACAGGCGTAAAAGACCGTAGAGACATTAGAATAGTAGAAAGAGTGCAGTAAACTAAAGAAAACTAAAATGAAGTGCCACCTCTAACTATCCTAAGACATTGCTAACCAACAAGTCGGATCTATAACCCTCTCCCTAACCACCCTCTACCTCTCCATCTATGAGATCCCACATCTGTTGGAGAGGGGAACAAAGGTTGCCTATACCTCCTCTATCAGAAGTGTTCAAGAACTGAGAGTCAAGGTGTGGACAAAGCGGAAAATATTTGGTACGGTTGCCTGAGATATTACACCATTCCCCCTCCCCATTTACACTAGTCCCGACAAGAGATCTGCTGTCCTAAGTTTGTGTCTCCAAAAACTCCTATCAGAGGTCATTTCCTGAAAAAACGATTAAGGATGTCATGTCCAACCTCAGCTGGTCATCCCATGTCCTCTTTGGCTCACCCCCCTCCTCACCAGTTCCGTCCTCTATCTCCTAGGAACATGCCCAAACCACAATCTTCCCTCTCTCAGTTTATCTGTGATATTAGCAATTCCTAGCTATGACTGTAGACCTCATTCAGTATCCTATCCAACATGGTCCATCTCAACATCATAGAACAGTCTCGTGGCAGCCTCCACTTTGACCACCCTGCCCACATTGTCGACCTATCGGAACTTTTGTTTGCATGCCTTATCTGATTACATGCCGGAACTAAGAACAATTGAGATCATTAAAGAGTTATACATGAAATACTTAAAAAATTGAACCTCATTTTGTCAAGTATAAAATGATTCCATTTGAAGAGATTTTCACCCCAAACTACTTATCTAAATATGTGAGATTAGACTAAAAACACCTTTCTGGAAGATTAAAACCACGATTACTCGAAGAAAGTTGAGTTTGGTTTCATTTATAGCTTACCCAACCACTAACCAATAGCTCATATAATTTGACTGTGGTAAAAGGAGTAATAAATTAGGGCATTCAAAAAAAGGAGCTGAGCTTGAAGATAATGTGTAGAAATATGTAACAGACCTTTGTTGATTGAAATCCATGGCACAAAATTACAATCTCCGTAGATCCAGCTTCATGCAATAAACCCACAAGTTTCTCCCCATGGTTGTTTCGTATAACGATTTTATGCTGATGCACTCCTAAAACAAACGAGACAGCACCAAATCTTATAATAAAAATCGCATTATTGATCATTCTATACGAGTTGATTTACTTTTGATCAATTAAATTGATCGGTTACTGATTAACAACAAAGATCGTCGGAAAATGACCTGAGTTTTGCTCCGGATGGGCGGGATTGGCGTCGCTAGCAGCAGCGCCGGCGCCGGCCATCTTCGTTTGTGTTATTTTGCAACGATCGGAGTAGTTTGGTTGCTTAATTCGCAGTAGCTGATTAACACGAAAATCTGATAAACAATGAGTTTTGGTTGTAACAACAAAGTTGGAGGGCTTTAAATGATAATTATTCATCAAAGTTCCCATTTTTCCCGTTTCAGCAACAATGGCGGACACCAAGAGATTTGTTATATTTTTTTAAAATTACAATTCTTTAATTAAAAATAATTTAAGAGAAAACGATAATATTTTTATTTTAGATAAAATATAAATTTGAAAATATCATAAAAATTTTTAAAAAATATATTTGATATCAGTATCAAATCAACTATTTAAAAGTTTTCATTTTTTTATTTCTTTAATTCAATTTTTTATTATAATTTAATTTAGGTTTAATAATAAAGTAATTTATTTTTATTTAATAATATGATTTTTTATAAAAATAATTAGTAAGCATTCTTTAGAATTCAATGATTATCCTAATTATATTTCAATTTATTTATATTTAAAAATAAGATATTTATCATGTATTTGATTATGTTTATCTGCAATTAGTTACGCGAAATTTAGAACTTTATACGTATAATTTATTTGTAATCTTAAATATTAAATAATATACATGAATAAACAGTATTTTATGTATAAAAAATAGTTTTTAACAGTTTTTATCAAATATTTTATAATTATAGTATAGATATATTTTTTACAAATTTTTTATCATCAAAATCACATAAAATCATATTATATCGACAAAGACAGAGAATAAAATAAAATATTAAAATCGAGATGTATCTCGCTGTAATGCATAAGTACCCTTCTAATTATTAATTTATACATTTATCCTTTTTTTTAATCTACTTTATTATTTTATTTTTAATTTATTTTGTTAAAAAAATAAAATAATAAGTGACATCATATCATATGTTTGCTTTAATTTATAACTTATAAAAAAGGATTTTTTTTTATTATTAAAATAAAATTATCATTTAATTAATTAAAAAATTAATAATTATATATTTTTAAAATTAATAAAATTATCCACACTTCCACTCCCTGTCTTGAGAGTTGAGATGGGCCACACATTTTATATCCATCTTTTATGCATCCATAATTCAAGGGGCAGTTTACTAAACACTTGTCTTGGCAAGTGCTTATTGGCTATATTATTTTATCGGTAAACATAACAAAAACCGATAGTCTTACCCGGTAAAAGGAACGACAATAATCGAAAGTCTTATCTAATAAGTGAGGATGAGGACTCTTACCCGGTAAACGCTTACCAGGTTATAAATGAATCTGGTATGCCACATTCGGAGGTGGGGTCTGAAAAGGTGAGATTTATGCAGATCTGACGTTTACCTCAAAAAGAGAAATGACTGTTCCATTAATTGAGCAAAGTTTGCCACTCTCACTTGTTGGATAAGATTCTCGGCGCTTACCATTTGAGATCCAACTCTACAACATACGGTTACGATAAAAAGGCTATAAATTTACGGGGTTTCTTGTACATGGTGGACAAAAAGAAATCAAACAACATAACTGTGTTACAAGTAAAAAAAGGTACTACTTCGCACACGCCATTGATCACGCACGGCGCTTACTCAACCGCCATGAATTGGGTTCGTGGTACCGATCGTAAAGAGGTTCAATCCGTTCTTGGCGCTTCCGCTTGCTCATCTTTGTGGGATCCGACACTTTAAAGAATCTTGGTGCAAGTTCGACTAGCCATTTTGGATCCACGACCGCAACTTCACGCATGTATTCTTTTGTTGTCATGACTAGCTCGTGATAGATCACCCAATCGGGTTGACGCTGGAAAAGGGCGCTACTTGGGTGTATATAAACAGGCTGGTTCTCGACTATAGTTCGGTATCCTTCTTGTGGGTCCTTCCGGGCAGCATGGAAGAAAAAACCGGCTGTAATTGCCTTTCGGATCTTTGTAAAGTTCTTCCCGGCACTCACGACGTCCAATTTGTACCTGATCGGTAAACAAACAAATCAGCAATGTCAACCAAAAATACGGGCCTGTCGGGTTATGAGTGGTAAAAGCTTGCTTCTTGCATATTGATCATAATAACAGGAACTCGCGTTTTCTTAGAGAGCGAAATGTATCAAAATGCAACGTAATTTGCCTCGGTTCCAACTTATGGTAAGAAAGGAATTTAATCGAGTTTCAAAGTCCCAGAAAAGATTCTCTTTATTTTTCTCATTTTTTACAGGTAACTGCTCTTGCAACATTTGAAAACGTGGATGTCAGATTTATCACCTACTTCGTCGTAACCTTTTAGTAAAGATATCATAAACCTTTTGTAAGCGGGTATCCACGTCATCGAACGTTGCAAAATTAACACGCTTACGTCAAAATAGGTACAAAATAGGAAATTTGGCAACAAAGTTTATCTCAGTTCCTATTTAGTGTAACCAAGAATTTTAACAAAGTTACAAAATTTCGTAGCATAGTTTTATATTTTTCTATTTTTTACCCATTTTGACCGATAACATGATCTTGTAACATTCGATAACGTGGATGTCAAGTTTATTGTCCACTTTGCTGTATCCCTTTTGTAAACACTTCATAGCCCTTTCGTAACATTTCATAAACCTTTCTCAGAAGGATATCCAGGTCATCAAATGTTAATAATTAATCAGGTTATCGGTCAAAATTGATAAAAAATAAAATCTTTTAACACTTCGTTACATCTATCGATAAAAAGAATTCTTTGTCATTGTAAATAGGAACCAAACCCGACTTTTGTTGCATTTTAATGCATTTTGCAGTTCAAAAAACTCGCTAAAACTAGTTTGGTAGATTAACATCATAGCTTTAAGGTTTAGACCATCTCCAAAAGGGACACCAAATCTTACATCAAATACCAAATTTAACACAAATCACTCCCACAAGGACACCAAAACTGGTGTAATGAACCAAAGGGCCTTTGGCCTAGCGGTATCATAATCCTTGGCCTCCTAAGAGATCAGGGGTTCAAACCTCACCAATTTTTATAGATTTGGTGTAACCCGTTGGAGACGGCCTTAAACCTAGATCAGACAACAATCTTGAAATATAATTAGTTGAAACAAAGAAAAAAAAGCAACTTACTTGTCCATGATCGATAAAAGCTGCTTCCTAACATCTTGCGCCCTCCTTAGTGATCTAGCCTGAACAAAATTCTCAAAACACCATGGCCCAGAAAAGTTCTTGGCTTTCCAAGCTTCATAAACAGCAAGCAAAGTCAGATGATCTCCTTCAGGTTGAAAGAACTTGGCCCTTCTTTGATCTGCTTGTGCCTGCTTTTCCCTTGGTCTGTAGAAGATGTTCCCGGTTTGAATCATAGCTATGATAGTCAAAATCTCATCACTACAACCCAAATCAACACTAGCAAGAAGCATCTTTGACAATGGAGGATCCAGTGGGAACTCTGCCATTTTCCGACCCAATTTGGTTAGAAGCCCCTCTTCATCAAGAGCTCCAAGACTGTAGAGCTGTTCCATAGCAGAAATTAGAGCTTGCGGAGAAGGTGGGTCCATGAAATCGAAAGAAAGAAGATCGTTTATCCCCATAGCTTTCAAATTCAAAGTTATCAATCCAAGATTTATCCTTTGAATTTCGGGAATTGAGGTAGGAGACATCTCGTTGTTGAAAGCACTTTCGGTGTATAGTCTGTAACACTTTCCGGGCCCTGTACGGCCTGCACGCCCGGCTCTTTGCTTTGCTGACGCCTGAGATATTGGAGTAATCACAAGTGAATCAAGACCCTGTTTAGGGTTATACACATTTTGCTTAGCAAATCCAGGGTCAATAACATAGAAAATCCCATCAATTGTTAAAGAAGCTTCAGCAATATTGGTGGCAACAACCACCTTCCTCTTCCCAGGAGGGGCAGGTTCAAAGATTCTGGATTGCATTTCACTAGGAAGTGCACTGTAAACCGGTAATATGATCAATTCAGGCACATTTTTACCTAACCCTTTCATCCTTTCATATAGACACTGGCAAGCATGATCAATTTCCTCCTGACCCGTTAAAAAGACAAGCACATCACCCTCAGGCTCTGTTAAGTGGATCTGCATTACAGTAATTAGAGCTGCATCAAGATAATCGCTTTCCGGCTGTTTGGTGTAAAGTATCTCCACAGGAAATGTCCTTCCAGGAATTGTGAAGATATTGCAGCTAAAGAAATACGCAGAAAACTTCTCGGCATCCAATGTGGCAGAAGTGACGATTAAACGAAGGTCGGGTCTTCTTTTCACAAGATCTTTTAATAACCCAAAGAGGACATCAGTATGCATTGTTCTCTCATGAGCTTCGTCAAGCATGATCACCGAGTATTGAGATAGGTTCTCGTCGATCAGAATTTCCCTCAAAAGCATACCATCGGTCATGTACTTGATCACAGTTTCTGGGCCGGTACAATCTTCAAAACGAATGGCATATCCAACTTCCTCCCCTAAACGGCAACCAAACTCTTCAGCAACTCTCTTGGCCACAGACATTGCAGCCACCCTACGGGGCTGGGTGCATCCTATCTTACCCCTGGTGGTGTAACCTGCTTCGGCTAGATACTGCGTCACCTGAGTTGTCTTACCTGAACCAGTCTCACCTATGACAACCAAAACCTGATTATCGTGCACAGCCTGAACCAGTTCCTTCTTCAATTTGTATATAGGCAAGCTTTGCCTCTGTTCTTGGAGAGAAAGCTTTGATCTTTGACCAAATGTTAATGCTTTACCAAAAGCATCCTTCTTCCATTCAGGCATATCGTATGCTGACAACCCAACTCCCCTCAGCTCCTGTGCCAGATGTCTCTCACCTGTTTCGGGCATCGGGTCTTCCCATGGACGATTCAGATCTTTTGGGATAGAGTCGAGCATTGTTCTTTGCTGCTGGTCCCTCACTTCTCTCCTTTCTTTTATGAGAGCAGATTGTAGGGCTGCTGCACGACTCAAAGAACCCTCAGGATTTTTGAAGATCTTGACAGGTGACATATCCATTGAATAGTGGCTCTGCCCTTGCAAAAAGGCTGGTTCATCTTCATTCAACTCAACCTCAAGCTCTTCATCACCACCTTCTTCTTGATAAAGCATTCCATCAGCAGTTTCTTCATCAAACATAGGATACTCTTTCACACTTAGAACACCTGAAGCAATCAACTGCTTTGCCTCCCACCTCTCCGGAGAACTCATTCTCTTCAAAGGCCTGCGTGAAGGAACCCCAACATCCTCATCTGTAATCCTTATCCCTGAGAGTCCTGTCCTGGATGTAGACACAGCATTGTTTGATCCACTCGAGGGGTTGGTCCTTAATGAATCATCATCACCGCTCTTCTTCAATGGCAGCAAGTCCCTCCCAGTGTTCTGATCAACATCCCTCATTGAGAGAGACAATTTCTGACCTGATATTGCAATCACTTTCACAAAAACCTCCTGATCCCGCTTAACAACATCTTTTGCATTAGATATTCTCCTTGTAGCCATTTGTGACACGTGGACCAAACCCTCTTTACCCTTGATATCACTAAGCTGAACAAAACAACCACTATCCATTACCCTAGACACCCTGCCTTTATAGACCTGATAAAGTTCAGGTTTATCTGATTGGTGCCCATAACTCTTCTTCTCGCTCCTATCTTTTTCGTTATCCCTCCGATCAATATCATCTTCATCCCTTGCACGATCATATTTACGATCCCTATCTCGGTCCCTGTGTCTTTCCCTACCCCCATGATTACCTCTATCATCTTTGTCTCCTCTTCGCCTATCGTATCTATCATCCATATCATCATCGTCTCTGACCTTCTGGCTGCCCCTCTTATCCCTACCTCTACTTCGATCTCCATCCCTGTCTCTCTGACTCCTGCCTTCATATTCATCTCCACCATTTTTCCTAATCCTCTCTTTAGCTTCCATCTCAATCTCTTTCTCCAACGCCTTCACCCGATCCTTACTATCCCCAATATTCAAAGCTGGAAAATTCGACTTCGATCCACCACCATCATTCTTACCAGTATCCTTAACAGACCCTGATTTCGCCTTTGGAGGCAAAATAGCATGGATTATTTTCAACAAAGTCCGAACAAAGTAATCCGGCATTTCAGCACCGTTTTCTTTCAACTTACTATCGAATTCATCCACCGTTCCACACTTTCGTCCTATCTCGGTGATAAATTCAGCCAATACTTTATCACCAAACCCTAAATGCGATTCAAGCTCCGTACATACCTTCGATACGAGTGAAAGATACTCGAGTTTCTTCAAACTCGGCTCTTTTGTTCGCGAAACCATCCTTAAATTGTCAGATCTACGATACAGAAAAACTCGCAAGACCAGTAAAATTTGCTAGGGTTTTGATACCTGAAATCGACGAAGAGCACGCTGATTGGAGACGAAGGCTTTGTTTCCTTTTGTTTTTCGGGGGGCGGTGGGGGGAGGAGGGGTGTATTTATAGTAGGTTTATATTTTCACTAAGGCCCTTATACTATTATGTTATTACACTTTGCCTCAAATGTTTTTACAAACCGACAGAAGGTGAGGGAGATTGAGGAAAGGGTTTTTGTTTTTTCAATTACATGCCATGTGGCGTTATTTAATTGGTGCTTAAAAAGGAGTAAAAAGACATAAATGCCCTTAAAGTTAAGTGAGAAAAAGAGATGGCTATTTAGTCCAGGGACCACATCTAATAAAAAATACATACCATAAATGAAGTTTAAAAAGTGGAACACAGAGATCTATATCTATATTATATTATAAATTATTTGACAATTTTTTTTATAAACTATATTTTATATATGAAGTATTATTTACTGATATATATTACTTAAAATTCAAGATTATAAATAAATTGTGCATAAGTATAAAATATAATTGATGCATATTACTTAAAATTTTATTTTATATATAAAATATTAAGATAACTATTGAGTTTTAATTAATACTTAGTTATTATTCTTTTTAAATCAAAAATAATATTTTATCATAAAACCAAAATTGGATTATAATAAAAAAAAATGAATTAAAGATATTACACAAAAAAAATAAGATTTTTTTATTTTATTTTTATGATATCTTAAAGATTATCTATACCATATGATAAATTATTTGACAAAAACTTTTAAAAATCATTTTTTTTATGCATGAAGTATTGTTTGTTGATGCATATATTGTTACCTCTTAATAGTTCCATTAAGAGGCAATATCTGAATTGTTAAGAGATGAATCTTGTTTGGCAAAAAAAAAGTCTGCCTCTTAATGGTTATAAAACCCTCTGAATAATTTTGTATATTGGATCTTTCTTAACCATTAAGAGCCCTAATTTCATTATACACAATTACCAAACAATTATATTTTATTTTACATAATTATAAAAGTTTCTTAATCATTCTAACTATTTAATGATTTTGTACAAAATCATTCGACAACTATTAAACGCGGGATAAAATGCACCCAAAATCACATGACTTAAAATGAGGTGACACACATACACAAGGAGACCATCGTCTTAAATCCACACAAAATCACATGAATTCCTCCATTTCATGAGCCCCATAAACCCCCTTTCCCCTTTCTCCATACCCATACTTTTAGAGAGAGAAAGGCACATACTTTTTTAGAGAGAGAAAGCCACAAAAGCTTGATCAAAATCAAAAACCCAGATGCAAGATTTTAGATCCAACTCCTACAATGGAAACAAGATGCAAATAGAACCTTACAGCAACAACCCCCATCACCATCATCATCATCATCCATCAAACATTCAAGATTTCAGATGCCACAGTGCATCTTATGCATCATCATCGCCTTCACAAACCCAGATCGATAATCCAACGGTCGTCGAGATCAAGAAAGACAGTCGAGCGATTTCAAGAATCTGGAGCTTGAATGATCCAGAATTGCAGAGGAAGAAGAGGATTGCTAGCTACAAAGCTTATTCTGTTGAAGGAAAAGTCAAAGGGTCAATCAAGAAAAGCTTTAGGTGGGTTAAAGATAAATACTCAAAGATGGTTTATGGGTTAAGATCATCGTGACCCGATTCGACCCGATTCAGACCCACCATCATTATTGATCTTTGGTGTTGATGATCATCTTTATAAGTTTGATTCATGCATCTTTTATGGTATAATTGCCCTTTATGAAGTTTGCTACTAATGTATTGTAGTGTAATAAATGGAGTAATAAAACAAAATTTGATATCTTTTTCATTTCTTTCGGTAACCGTGGGTTTCTGGACCAATTTATACGACACCATTAGTCCCTATGATCATGAATGGCCCGGAGTGAGGGGCTGTTCGGCAATTGTTGAATGGTATGGTGCAGAATGATTAAGAGACTCTTGTGATATAGTGCAAAATGAAATATAGTTGTTTGGTAATTGTGTACAATGAAATTAGGGCTCTTAATGGTTAAGGGAGATTCAGGATATAAAATCATTCGGATGGTTTTAGAACCATTAAGAGGTAGAATTTTTTTTGTCAAATAAGATATCTTTTAACGATTCAGAGGTTGCCTGTTAATAGAACTATTAAGAAGTAAACAAACAACCCCGAGTCATTGCAGGTGAACCTCGTTGGCCATAAGGAATTTGACCTTGAATTTGAACCTTTTTGGTTGGTGATGATTTTGATGTCCTAAATGTGATGTTCTAATTGATGGATTTGAGTGAGACTTGATGTGGGTAATTGACTAATTTATGTCGAATAGAAACACGAAGATTATGGTTGTCTTTCGGATTTGGATCGTAATCTGTAGATGTCGGAGTCTTGAATTTGAGTCGAAATCAATGAGTTAACGAAACCAATCGACTGTGGGGATGTGTTGATGCGATTGGCGTGCAAGGCTTCGGGCGTTATAAAAGCCGACGATTCCTTCCCATACAAACCCATCTTCGTAAATATCTCAATTTTTTCCAAATAAAGTGTTGATTATAATAAATAAACTCTGATCATCTTCCATGAATATACCGATTGTAATAATAAACCATTATTATTTTCATAAAATGTATAAATTGATTGGTTTGTACGAATTAGAACCCAGAAGATGACAGACTGACCAAAACAGATAGAACAAAAATCATAAAGATAAACAATATTGATAAATTACTAAACTACTGATGTCAAATTAAAACCTTAAAACCAGAAATTTCATGAGGATTCCAATCCTTACAACTACCCATTTACACTTTCAATCCTCACTATCAACAATTCTACAATTACTTATGGACTTCATGTTAAAAGCATAAAAAGTTATATAATACACAAACCAAACTTCTGATATTTAATGAACCTTTTCTTCATCATTCAACTGTAGACCTTGGATACTCTTATTGAGATTTGTCGTCTCGTACGCCGAACCGTTCTTCCCCCATGAAGCATTTTTCGGATCTGAGGACCCACCAAGTGCTGAATTTTTTGGCTTAATATTTGTTCCGGGATTCATCTCTGGGGTGCGACCATCATCTCGTCTCACAGGTCCCCTTGATTTCCCAAGCTATACACGAAGAACACATTTGCGTATAAGAAATCATCTAGGATTATGAAGTGACGTGCTTAAATGCAAAACAATTAAATTCTACTGGAAGTTGATTATCTTTTAGTAACTTAATGAGCTTAATGAGACTCACGGCTCATATGGTTAGCTATACATGACTGTTTGGTACTAACTTAGTGAGAGCCAAGTTTTTACAAACCCACCCCTCCTAATTAAAAAGCACGCTCATTTCATCTATGAAAAAACTCTTCCAAACAAAAACTTTTCCAATCCATCAGATAAATTAATCTACACAGACAGCTTTATTTATTCAGGACTTAATGGAAAACCAACCAAACAACCCCTTAAACCTGACGATCCCAGGATACCTCACCTGGAGGTGGGGTTGGGGGGAGGTGAGAGGTATGCAAACCAGACCTCTACTTTCAAAGAGTCGAACGGATTGTTAGAAATATGCAAATCAAGTCGAACATTTCCCCACAGAAATAGAGGAAAAAGCAAAAAAACAATATAGCAAAGTAAATCGAGTTAGAAGTAAAAAAAGCAATATAGAAGCAGAAATAGGTACAAGAAAATGCAGGACTCATGCCTCTCCAGCTCCCATCTACGCTAGCTACAAAACCCCACCCCTAGTCTGCTATCTTAATCCCGCGTCTCAAAAGACTCCTACAAGAGGTCATTTCCTCAGAAATACCTAAGGTCACCATGTCTAACCTCAGTTGCTCGTCCCAAGTCCTCCTTGGCTTGTCGCCCCCTGTCACACCTTCTATCATCCTCACCAGTCACCGCCTCACTGGAACTTCATCAGTTACCAAGAAAAAGTTTCTCCATTCATGTTACTAGATTCACTTGCCAAAGAAGAAAAATGCTGCAAGTCGTCTAGTGTAAATTTTCGAATTTTGTAATATGATTTAATTTGCTAGATTCAGTGATGGGATTTGCAGTCTTTGCTTCATGAACCAAACTGAAATGGATCGTGCAATTTAAACTTCAATCGTATTTCTTGACAACTACGGCCGTGAGATTGGAGTGACTAGTGAGTGGGATGATGTGGAGATTCATTCAGGGGCGGAAATTGTGGTTCTAAGTTATATCTAGTGAATAATCCAAATGGCCAGATCAAAAAGTGTACAAGCCTGAGTGACAGCCTTCTGATCAGAATTGATTGCAATAGTGTAGTTCTTGAACTCAGCAGGCTGACCAAAGATTGAGTGCAATAGTGTGTGTGTATCTACAGGGGTGTTTGGTTCGCACTTCGCAGAATGGAATTCGGTGGAATTGGAGTCCATCAAAGGAATTTGTATTTGAAGGAATCAGAATGGAATTTGATAGAATTTGACCACCTGTTTGGTTGGATGGAATTGTTAAAGGAATTGGAATCTTTGGTGAAATCTTTGATACAAGGAATTCAGAGGATTCCTACGATTCCTACATTTTCAATATGTAGGAATGTAGAAATTTGGTCAAAGGAGTTGACCATTTTAATTCCCTTGAAAACCTTTCAATTCAATGAACGAAAAAAGGAATTGGAATTTGGTCAGAGGAATTGACAATTCCAATTCCCTTGGAATTCTTTCAATTCCCTTGGAATTCTTTCAATTCAATGAACCAAATAGCCCCCCTAGTGTTTATGTAGCAAGCATACATCGATATATGCATTACATAGATACACACTCTATGTACCAGCTAGTTTAGAGTGTATGCATAATGTGTTCTAATTTAGTATTCAAAATGTACGTCTCCTGTGTCACTTCTTCCTAATCCTATTTAATAACTTCTCTGGTTTTGGAAGCTCACCACTTCACCATCTTAGTATTAAGTTCCCCTTTCTTGTCTCCATAACTTTTTCTCTCTTTAGTTGTGTCCTCCACTAAACATTTATTTTTCTTGCACATATCATTTAATAAATATCGAGATAAATGTTACTTCATTTCTTTGACTAGCTAAAATTACATAAGATGCTTGTCACTTTGCCAAAACAAAGGCATGCGCCATATCTTAGTTACTTTATAGGGTTTGCAATAGGTTATCTATAACTTCTAATTATAACTCCAAGAACTCACCATGGCATCTTTGCCAGTTGTTGGATCGTTGGTAACTTGTGTCTTCTCTTTAGCTAGATTCCCTGACTTCATAACTTGTCCAGGATTTCTCCGCCGAGAAGAATCCATTGATGATAAACCAGCCATCTTCCCAGCTTCCTCACCTACGACAGATTAATAATTAAGAGTATACCCCAAAAAGGAACTATTAGTGTGCTTTTGTGTTTGTGTGTGAGATATATATATATATATACATACATATATATATATATATATATAAAGAGAGAGAGAGAGAGAGAGAGAGAGAGTTTGCAAATAAAATGGGAGGTCCAGATGGGCCACCATATAATATGAATCCCCCTCAGACATAATAAATGGACAGGTAATGGAAAACAAAACCTCAAATCACCCCACACAACTCCTCTCCGCTGCCAATAAAACCGAAATAGAAAAATAATGAATACCAGGATGAATATCTTTCAAAAATTAATGATTTTACACTCACCAGAAATAGCATAATAATTGCCGAATAAATGCTATGGTAACAAAGTAAAAAGTTAAGTCCAAGATTAAAACCAATGTAGAGACTACCTGTCTGCCTGTCACCAATGGGAATAGCAGGGGGTATTCCAGAGCTTGGTCCAGCGCCCATACCCTAAAAGAGAGCACAATCAGCTATTCATAACTATACTAACATCACTTAAGGAACTGATGCATGGTATGTTACTTACAAGGCCACGAGTAGGAGGAGCTGCAATCTGTGACTGTTGATATTTCAGTATTGTCCAATCAAAGACATAATCGAATAGGAATCCTGTAAAAGAAAGTATGATTAGTGTTCATCTGTATCCTTGAAGCATTATGTTTTTGATGACTAGAAGGAGCATGTTCAAACCTTCACGGATAAAGAGGTCCCGAAAAATTCGCTTAAGATAAGCATAATCTGGTTTGTCTTCAAATCGTAATGAGCGGCAGTAATGGAAGTATGACGCGAACTCTGTTGGATAACCACGACATAAGGCCTGAGGGAAGTGAAAACATATCACCACTCATGGTTCAAAGAGCAATGTATGTATACATATATGATACCCCTACATGCATAGATATATATATATAAATAAATGAATTATAAGGGAAAGCCAATAATAGTTTCCCATAGTGCAGTACCTCGATTGAAGTAGAAACTTTTCTTTCACTAATTTTTTCATACTTCTGTTTCTTATTTCCTGCTTTCAGGCCCTGCCAAGGTAGACTGGACACATAAAAGATATATGTCATTTGACTGAAAGAGAGAAGGGGGGGGGGGGGAGACAATGCATGTTGAAAAAATCACCTTCCTCTTAAGAAATACATGAGAACATATCCTAGAGATTCCAAATCATCCCTCCTGCTTTGTTCTTCACCATTCAGAAACAAAATATACAGAGGTTAACATTCATAAGAGTACACGTCAGAAAATAAGAGCATTATCCGTGCAAATGTGACAACACATACCAATGCCGAGGTGAGTATTCATGCTTGCATATCGTGCAGTTCCAGTCAAGTTTTTATTTTCTCTGCAGAGCAATGACCAACCAGTGAATATCTTTGAAAAGAATGGAGTTTTAGCAACTAAAAGGACCTTGAATAAACTATACAATTCGCTCAAGATGAGACATGTCATCTACCAACCACATTGCCACCATCCCTTCAAGTGGCCATTCAAGTCAGACAGCAGCCTCTAAGGCCATGCGACAACAATCTATTGAAGAAATGTAGAATATAACCTCAACAATAATGACCATCACCTTACTCAACAATGCGAAGTTCACTATCCAACATTAAATTATTTCTTATTTCAAGTTTAAGGAATCAGATAAACAAGAATAACCAAGTACATAAAGAAGGAAAACATTTCTTCTAGGGGAACATGATACTGGGATTCTTTTCCTTGCACCACGATCCTATTAGTATCAGAAAGCATACTCTATAGACCAAACAGTAGATGAAAAAAATCTAAAAGATAAGGTACAGGCTTAACATTCCTCAAAATCTTAGTGTAACATTCTTCATCCTAGAGCAGCAGCTTCTGCCTTGGCAGCAAGGCATTCTTTAACTCCATTGAAAATTTGAAATATAGCCTTATTATATGTAATAAAAAGTCTATATGCTTAAAATTCAAAATACAAAGGACACAACACTTTAAAACATAAACAACATGATGCTTACTGATGTGAAAGAAAGGATTCATCTTCCAGTGAATTTGTGAAGGATGCAACCTTAGATTACATAGAGAAAGTTACATCCATTCTGACTTACAACTGCTAGTTTGGGTACAAAAAACAGTACAGAAACACCACATCTAGCACTCCAAACATTTCATGCAGTAGTGTAAGGACAACAACTTGGGCAAGTTATATCCAATGAGTGTGCATGCATGCGAGATTAGGGTATTTATGTACTAAATGGCAGATTAGGGTATTTATGTACTAAATGGCAGATTAGGGTATTTATGTACTAAATGGCGGGAAGACTGAGAAGAGCATATAAGGGGAGGACATGGATTGATGTCAAGTTACACATTCTTAGACCAATTATCAAGCGGTCAATAATCTCACCTGTAAGGAATATGTTGGTGAGTTGTTGTATCCCTATATTTTTTCACCAAACCAAAGTCAATGATGTAGACCTGCAATGAGGCAAAAGAGGGATATCATAAGGTGTAATCCTAGTACAGGCTCAATATTTGCTGCAACAAAATGGTCAAGTGTGGAACCTGATTTGCCCGACGTCCCAAGCCCATAAGAAAATTGTCTGGCTTGATATCACGATGTAGAAATGATTTGGAGTGAACAAATTCAATTCGATTAATCTGAAACAAGTCTACTTATCAGTCACTGTCGATGTAAGAAGTTCAGGAAGTTTAATTGATCAGTCACCATGGATGCTAGGAAGCTCAAACAAACAAAATTTTAGTGCTTACCATTTGATCTGCAAGCATAAGAACTGCCTTCAAAGAAAGTTTCCTGCTACAGAAATTGAATAAATCCTCAAGGCTGGGTCCAAGCAAATCCATCACTAAAACATTATAGTCTCCCTCCACACCAAACCATCTCACATTTGGTACACCAGCTGCAATAGCCCAATTGTGGTAATCAATAGGGGTAGGAATTGGACGAACTAGCATTGGAAACATGTTAGTGAAGCTACTTACTTCCTCCTTGTAAAATCCTGTATAACTTTGATTCATACAGCAGCTGAGGATGCTTTGTCTTGACATTTTCCTGAAAATGCCATTATAGTCAAACACGAAGGATAGCAATAAACAAAACCTTCATGCTTTTAACTATTAATTTAACCAAAAGCTTTGTCATAGTAGAAGAAGAAACATTTCAGTGTTAAAAGAACAATTCAATCCCAGATTAAGCGCTTGATCAGGTCAATGGCAAGTTCTTGGTACGATATGAGTTGGGTCTCTTTGGTCTTCCATTCTCCTATACCTCTCTCTATAAAAAAAGCTGATATGGATCAATTGGCAAAATCAAGATTAGCGGCCAAAAGTACCACTAATCGGATGCTTATTAAAATAAACCCTGGAATTCGAGACCCAGTAATCTCCAATGYCTACGACAAGAATCAAAATACTAGAATGAATCCAAACAATGGGGTGGCCGGTCCCTTAAATAAAGCCGTACCCTAATCCTAAAAAATAGGAAAACATATTTATCCTAATAAACTAATTAATATCTATCCTAATCAACTAATTAAGATAATTAAGAATAAGTAAATTGCAAACAACCCCCCTCTACTTGTTTCCTGCCTCTCTTTTGCGACGCAAATATATACGATCCCAATGTGGGTCGGGCTGAGACGTATCATTACTCCCGCCTCGAAAATTCACCTTGTCCTCAAGGTGAAAGGCAGGGAACTGCTCCACCACCTGAGTGTACTGACACCTCCACCGCATCCAAGTGTGCGTGAGTTTCCGGTGTTAACTCTTCCCCTTCGTCATCTTCATCATCCATTAACATGATCCGCAGAGCTTTCTCGGGGCAACGGTGTCCGGGTGTGAACTTCCCATCGCATCGAAAACATAAGCCCTTAGCCCGTTTATCCTCCAGTTCCGAGTCCGTCATCCGTTTAAACGGCTGCTCGTTACCCCCTGTTGTCGGTCGTTGGGTTCCCGTTGGAGGGACGGCCAGCAGCCGTGAGCCCCCCACTCCGGTCCGCACTGGCTGACTTTTGTTTTCCCCTTTTTCCACGTTCCCGTTGCTGACAGTTTTATTTTCATCCACCATCAGAGCTAGTTGGATCGCCTGGTCTAAGTCCATTGGTTGAAGCAACCTCACGGAAGTTCGTAGCTCCGGTTTCAACCCTTTTAGGAATGTACCCTGCATGATCTTCTCAGGAATACCCCTTAGCTGTGCCGATACTATTTCAAATTTCCCTATATACTCGCGTGCCGACCCTTCCTGTTTAATTGCCAAAAATTGTTCGTATAGGTCCCCTTCCTGAGATGACTRGAACCGMGCCAACAACCRGTTTTTTAATCCTTCCCAGTGACGAAAAGGATGCCTATAATCACTCCATCGGTACCATGCAAGGGCCTGTCCCTCCAACCCCAACACCGCCGCTCTCAACTTCTCCCCCGTAGTAACAAATCCCTGAACGTCGAAAATTTTTTCCATGAGGTACACCCACCCATATGCATCAGTTCCATCGAACAACGGCATCTTCAGCTTACGAAGACGGTAATCCGTCCCCGGCACCCACCCCCGTTCCCCCGAAGGTCCTAAGCCCCTTCCATACCCGCTGCCAAACGGCCTTTCAGTCTCAGAAAAAGCAAACGTACCTGACTCCGGAAAAGGAATTTCCTGAGTGCCGATGGGCCTGTTCGGTTCCCTGGTCGTACTGCTGGTTGCATGCCAAGGCGGCAGGGGCGCCCCATTCTCGTCAAAAATCGGATTCGATTGATGCATTATGGGCCGTGTGGTGCAATCGGTGAAGATTGGCGATGGCACGACTGCTGTCGACTGTGGTGGCGGCTTTAACGCCTGGAACTGTTGCAACATGACCTTCATCATCTCCGCATGTCGCTTCTCCGTTTTAGTGCGCAACGATTCCACAGTGGTCTCCAAGTTTTCGAACCGCTCCGTTGTCTCAGCGCGGAACTGTTCGACGGCAGCCTTCTGTTGGGTCAACTCAGCTTCAAGATCCTGAATCTTGGTCATGGTAGCGTGGATAAAATCACAGGCGCAAGATCGATGCTCTGATACCAATTTGATATGGATCAATTGGCAAAATCAAGATTAGCGGCCAAAAGTACCACTAATCGGATGCTTATTAAAATAAACCTTGGAATTCGAGACCCAGTAATCTCCAATGTCTACGACAAGAATCAAAATATTAGAATGAATGCAAACAATGGGGTGGCCGGTCCCTTAAATAAAGCCGTACCCTAATCCTAAAAAATAGGAAAACATATTTATCCTAATAAACTAATTAATATCTATCCTAATCAACTAATTAAGATAATTAAGAATAAGTAAATTGCAAACAGCCCCCCTCTACTTGTTTCCTGCCTCTCTTTTGCGACGCAAATATATACGATCCCAATGTGGGTCGGGCTGAAACGTATCAAAAGCCTTTCCCCTTTTCATAATACCCACRGTAAGCACCCTGCTCTCGATCCAGAGCTACTGCTTCAACAATCAACTGAGCTTAGGAAGTCGGGTTAAGACATCAACTTATAATTGGTCTTGCCCRAGGAGATGAAAAAGAATTAGGGCTTGCTTTCTCAATTCACATCTATGAGCGATGATTCCTCTATCTCTTGCTCGCTTCGATCGGACTCTGGCAGCTTAGGGAAGAATGATGGCTCGCTAACAAGGCCCCTAAATGACCTTTCAGAAGGCCTACCTCTTTTTTCCCAATCTCTCACTCGCTCGTCCCTCTCTCATGAAAGATTGTCTCTCCTCTCCCGGCGGCTTTTAGTCATGTCTATAGCCAGTTGCTRAGACGATTCCCACTCAAGCATTCTCATTCAACGGTCTATCAATGCTGCCTTATTTAGTTCAAAATTCCTTTCTTTCTACTAGTTCTTACATAAGCAATTTGCAGGAAGTAAACGAAGTCTTTCCTTCCTAAATCCACTCCAGAAGTCACGTCTTTCAGTACTGGGACTGAAGTCAAGTACTTTCGAGTTGCTCTTTGCCCAAAGCCCTCTTTCCGACTYAGAAAGACCAACTAACAATAGCTTTAGCATCTCTTGAGTTGGAAAAGGTCTTTATAGAGCTAAGGAGAAGTTTTGGAACCCTAGTAGCAGAATGGAATCAGTGGGCTGACTTCCATGCTAACACRAGTAGTTTAACTCAGAATTACCTCGTAAGGGCTTTTTTAATTGTTTTTGCTTTGCTATAAACTTTTTAAAAAGTCTTCAAATAGCCATTGCATAGTTTACGAATTATGCTTAGTAGGGACCTTAACACAGGAATGGTTCAGAGTCAGACCACGCCTTATGACGAAAGGGGGAGAAAGGACTGTCGATCTGTGATCAAAGAAAACTATACCTGAAGAATGGAATACAGATTGACCGGCACAAAAGCCATCTCTATCAATCTATGCTCATTGATGAGACGGCGACATAGAGAACTTTGTCACCCCCTTGTCACTTAAAAGTAAAGAAGAGATACGAATTTTTGAATATAAATTTGGTGGGATTGAGGATGGAATCGAATAGCGAATGCACTTGACCGACCTGCCATCTCTTTCCTTCAATAATGCCTTCGSTTCACTTCAAGACGCTATTTGCCAATAAGAAAAAAAACTACCTTTTTTATTTGAATGGAAGAAGCCGAAGGGGTGAACGAGCGCTGCRGTAACGAGCTTTCCTTCTGCCGGCCTTCAAGAAGCTATTTGCCATTGACCTGCTCAAGCCCATTTATTCTTTAAGTGAAAGGACCTTAGCCTATTCCTCTATTCCTTGAGAAAGTGAACCCTTTACTGGTCGAATAAGATTGGTGGTTGCAGATCGAAGAAGCAGGGTTTTAGTATAGGAGCGAAGCCACTCGACCGCAAGGTGCAAAGCCACTCGACTGTAAGGAGAGGGAGAGRTTCAATTTAAATATGGAAGGATGGAATGGCTTATTCGAATATAGAGGAGACCTTACACTTCGCAGATAGGATGGTCGRAAAAGGGGGAATACGGTTATGTCTAAATGCATGGGATCAACCCCCAGTTCCTATGGAAGATAGGTTAGTGGAAGGTAGGCGCCTTCACTTGACTTCCTCGTGTAGTAACTTTCACTTGCTTCCTCTCACAGTCCATCGCTCTAGTGTCTACTAGAAAGAAGTAGTAGTCTTAATCGGTTGACTAGAAGCCTATCTCACGCCCTTTCCTCCTAACTCTAGCTATCCAAGTCCAACCTCCTGTCTTACTCCATCATGTCTCTTCTGAAGGCCTTTGTCTATAGGTTTATTTAAGATTAGACTAGAAAHCTTCTTTCATCAAAGCAGAAAGCCGAGAACTACGATTTTTGAATAGCAGTTACAGATCGAAGGAAGTGATAASGTTCAAAAATGCCCGCTTTCTTGGATCAATTCCATCACTGATTTAAGGAAGAAAAGGGGCCAACTGGAGCAATGACAGAAGACTGACTTTCTCCTTTGCCTGCTACTCAAAAGAAAAAGCCAGCCACTCCTTCCGTATTGACATAAATAGTAACACCGACTTCAAGTTTGAGTCCATCGGCCAGGTCACTTAAATAGGTCCCACGCTTTCCGGCCTTTATCGTTAGCGAAACGAAAACACYAGGGCTGGATGGGGATCCTCTAAGTTGGGAAGAAACTTCTAATGATAATATTAGGAAGCAACAAATGAGCTCAAACAACTTTTGCAGACATGGATAAAGGTGTCATCTTAAGCCTATTAGCTTATGGGAGAATTTAGTTTATTGTCGCCTTGTTGGTCCAATCCTAACTTGCAGCATATATTAATTATTTCATTTATAATCCCATGATTCAAGGTCTCATAATATTACTATCATTCATGTATTAATTGTTTTTTGAACCCACATAAGTTGCACATAAATATTGTCTCTTACTTCAGTAACATATCTTGCACATGTTTTCCACATTGAGTCATTGCATTAACCAAATTCATTGTTTTACATTTAATTGCAAGCATTTTTTCTGCAGTGTAGATTTTATATTCTATGGTTATCACTTACCAAGGACAATGATAATCTAAGATATTTGCAGCATCGATCCATGTAATCTGGAAGGACATATTAGCCACATGAAGACTTTTAAGTCCACTATTCAAGTAATTTTGTTAGACGAACCACATAGATCAGTCAAATTTCACCTCTATATGCCAATTATTCGCCATAGGGGTAGAAGAAGATGCCTAACCCATCTTACCCCATGTAACTTCCAAAAGTGTGATTTGCTTTCAGTGTCACATTAAGAAGAATCAAAGTCAAACTAACTTTCCAACACAAATAAAACCTGAATCAATGACCCTTGCAACTCTTACACCATTACTTCAATTTGAACTCCCTTGATTTACAAAGTCAAATATGCATTTTCATGTTTGATCTTTTCCGAGAAAGATGATTGTTTCTATTTCTGACCATTGCAGTATTCCTAGTTTCCCCTTACTTTATAGCTAATGGTTCTAGCAAGAGTAACATACTATGCTTACTAACGTCCCCGCTAAAAGTAAGGTGCATTTGGCAACATTAAACAATCCTCAGTTCTTACTTCGGGAATGCATCTGCAATGCTTATTAACTTTTTACACTCTGCCAAGTAAATTCATCAACAGCTTAAATATCCCAACAAAACAAACAACCACCTCATCCATTTCAATTTCATTCAGATCATTTCATAACTGTCTTCTCATAGGCAACAACTAGTAACCTTCATTTACAAAAATCCGAATTATATAAACGATTAAAAACCAACTCACAAGCTTAATCGCAACTTCTTCATTCGTCTGAACATTAGTACCTGCAAAACAAACACAATTCAAATTCAACCTCAAAGAACGATGATTTAACAAGATAACGTAGTATTCAAGTCGTCTCTCTCTTCTAAACCATTTCTTTTGGAACTTAGATACTTATTTGTGATGGATTAACGAACTAAAACAACAAAATTGAAAATATGGAGATTAACAAACCTAAATAGATCTCTCCAAACGATCCACTGCCAATCTTTCGACCTAGACGAAATTTATTACCAACACGAGGCTCCATCAAGATCTGTATTCTGTAAATTTGGATAAAAATTGAGAATTTATAGGTGAAAAATTAGGGCATTTGGATCAGAACAGGTTGAAGAAGAAGAAGAAGGAGGAGGTGAGGCAAGGGGGAGTAGCAGAAGCATATGCTTTGTTTTCTATGCGTCGTAAACACGCGTAGCGCTCCGGAACGAAAACCGGTTTTTTTATCTTCGACCGGATTACGTTCGTTTAAATACCGGCAACGGTCGATGAACAAAAAACCGTTCTCACGTGTCGTGACACGTGATTCACGTGGTCTAAAATCATGTTTAGATATTGTTTGCTTTTTTCTTAAATAAACACTTGTAGACTGTGTAGCAGATTTTGTTATGATTATTTTAAAACACAAATTACATGAAAAATTAACGTAATTTAACCTGATTATTATTTTGAGTAATGTATTTTTAAAATTTTTATTTTGCTATCTAAGATATAAAGTTTTAAATATTTAAATACTCGGATAACCGGTTACCATGTTAATGTGACGAGTAAAGTTTTAAATATTTAAATACTCGGTTAACATCGTCAAATCAGTATTATTTGCTGAAGAATTAACCGGATACTACGTCACTCGTTACATCAATATGGTAACCGGTTACTCAAGTACTTAAATGCTTAAAATTTTACATCTTAAGTATCAAAATAAAAGTTTTGAAAATACGCTACCCAAAAATAAGTTTCAAGTTAAAATAGAAACTTCTTTTTTTACACATTGACCCCCTCCGCAAATTACAAATCACTTACAGAGGTAGTGACATTTTGGTGATTTTAAGCCATAAATGGTTAAGAGGTAAGAGCACAAGTAGAATGGCTATTTTAATTAATTTCTTTTTAAATATTTTAAAATTTATTATATTGTTAAAATATAAACGTATCAATTTAATACAACTTTTAAAAGAATTTATATTAAAATAATAATAATAATTTAATCTTATTTGTGGGAATAAATAAAAAATTATTTTTTCTTTCCAAGTATCAAGTTTTTGATAATTCTTCAAACTCGAAGTTTTCTTAGTTTTCTTTATTTTAAAGAACAATATAGATGATCTGTTAGAGCAAAATAGAGAACAAAAAAGCTCATTTTTCTCATCTATTTGGAGATGGTTTTAACTGATGTGTTTATTAGCCTTTCAGGCTGTGTTTGGTACGTGGGACAGGACGAGACAAAACTCATTGTCTTACGTTTGACATGACATAGTACAGAAAAAAAACTCGTTGTTCCACGTTTGATGTAACATTGGACAGGGACAAGGTGGGACAAAAAAGGATTTTTTCTTGTTCCACCAAAATAAGTGGAACAAGAACGAGACAGATCCTAAAATATTATTCATCTACACCCATTTGATATATAACATTAATGTGGTATTTGTTTTAATGGTTATCACCGTTAATTGTGGCTGTCGCCACCACCGATAGCCATTGTCGGCCACCTCCACCTCTTTTCCCACTATAACAACCTCCTCCACCGCCTCCATAACCATCGACCACCATCGTCCATCGCCATCTTCACAACCACCGTCCATTGCCGCCTCCACAATCACCGTCGGCCACCGACCACCATCGTCCATCGCCACCAACACTACCACCATCGTCCATCGCCACCAACACTACCACCATTGGCCACCTCTACCTCATACTCTACTACAACAACCTCCTTTACCACCTCCACAACCACCATCAGCCACCGTCCATCGCCACCACCATTACCACTGTGGGGCACCTTACCTCTACCATAACCACCATTGGCTACCATTACCACCACCACCACCATTACCTCCACTACATTGGCCAAAACTACCTCTTCCACCATTGTCGACTGCCATCACCACCACTATCCACCATCTTCGCGTCCTCCACAACCACCGTTGTCCACCAACCACCACTGCCTCTACCTCCACCAACCACCGTCGCCTATCACCACCACCACCACTAGTACCGTCGACCATCACTACCTTCACCTGACACCTCCACAACCAGAGGCGGATGCAGGAGAAGGTGGTTGGGGTCCTGGGCCCCCAACAAAAATTAGATAGGAAAGCCCAAAAGTT